TCAAATGTCGATTCCCGAGCTACTTAACTCTAACTGTCGATCACTAATTAACAAGGTGGACTATCTCCAATTTCTGCTAAGTCAAAACATGTATCGTAATTGTGGTGTCATCACAATTCAAGAATCTTGGTTAACTGACTTACAGGATGATTACTTAGTGTCATTACGTGATTTTAATATCTATCGTCAGGATCGATCAAACAATAAAAAGACTTGTGGTGGCGGAGTAGCTACTTTTGTAAACGTTAACTGGTGTAGATCTACTTTTGCCTGTTTCAAGTTTTCAAACGACTTTATTGACTGTCTAACTTTAAGGTGCCGTCCAAAACACTTGAATAAATACAAATATATTTATGTTACCAATATCTACATGACTCCAGACTGCACATCATCTGCGCTATCTGTCTTCACTGATAAATTTACTGAATTCGCCGTTACTGCCTTCAGTGATTCACTTTCAATTGTATGTGGTGATTTCAATTCATGTGACTGTAGCTTCCTTACATCACTAGGTCACCTAAATGTAGTAGATTTTCCTACTCGTTTGAATGCTCATCTAGACTTGGTTTTCATTAATGATGTGGGTACATATGTGACTCGCAAACGTGCTCCATTGTCTAGTTCGGATCACTGTATAATTCGTGTCTTACCTAAAGTATATGGTAAACATGGAAAGAGTACACACATACACCATACCAAAAAAGTAATATATAGGAATTACTCAGAAGAAAATTTACAAAATCTAAAAAACATGTTTCGTACGACCAACTGGGAATTATTTACAGATGACTCAATAGAAAACACAACGGATGTTATCACCTCTTATCTTAAATTCTGTTTTGATATTTGCTGTCCTACCGAAACCTTCTTTTTAAGTTTTGATTGACTTACATCTCCACAACTATAACGACTACGGAGGGTAAAAGAAAAGATGTACAAGGAGAAAAATACTATTGAAGTTCATAAATCAAATAAACCGAGATTAGACGTCTGAACTCTGTGTTTACTTAAAAACTCCTATCTTGTAAAAGCTCTCCAAGTATGTGGAAACTCTTTAAAGAAATTACAGGGGACAGGCAGACTAGAAACAATAACCAGCTGAATGTTTGTGACTTAAATAAGTCCTTTATTCATCAGTCATCTGACATCATGCTCCCTATATCCAAGGGTTTGAAGAATAATTGTGTCCCCAGTTTCACTGAAAATGATTCCCGGAAATGTCTCCAGTCTCTGAATTCATCCCAATGTTTAGGACCTGATGGTATCCCAAACCTCTTTTTTAAAAAATGTGCCGATGTTTTATGTTATCCATTAATGAATATCTTCAACAGATCCTTCTCAACTAATGTCTTACCGAAAATGTGGAGAAAGATAAAGGTAATCCCTATACCTAAAAAGGCTTCTGGTGATAAAAATGCGAAACTTAGACCCATAGCAATAACCTCACCTTTCCTCAAAATAATGGAAAAATTACTGATACAACCACTTCAACCTGTAATAAAAGAGCACTGTGATCCATATCAGTTTGCTTACAAATGCAAAAGAAGCACATTAGATGCCGTTGCTGTTCTGCATCACAATATAGTGTTCGGGTTGGAAAAGGGTAAGAAGTATGTTAGATGCGCTTTCCTGGACTTTACTTCTGCTTTTGATTCTATTCCAAGACACCTCTTACTCAACAAGCTGATCAGCGTCGATACTGACAGCTGGATAACCAATTGGCTATGTTCCTACCTTTCTGGAAGAGAACAGTACACTGTCTTTGAAGGAAAGTGTTCAACATCTCTACTGTCTACTGTAGGTGTGCCACAAGGAGCTGTTCTTTCACCTTTGCTCTTCTCTTTCTTTTTGCATGATCTGCCATCCTCCACAGAAAACACTTTTGTAAAATATGCGGACGACCTCACCGTATGTATGCCAATTTCTACCTCCTTACATCCTATAGAAATGAATGAGTTTTTATCTCGTATTGAAAGGTGGTCTGTTGGTAATGGTCTCTTACTCAATCCATCTAAATGTCAAGCTGTTAATTTTAGCTTGAGACATGGACAGAACCTATACTCTATGTTGGGATCCCATAATGCTTGTGCCATTGGAGACTCCTTAATAAACACAGTGTCGAAGGTCAAATATCTTGGTGTTATTTTTTCCTCTGATCTTTCTTGGTCTTCTCATGTTTTGCTGTTATCGGAAAAAGTTTACCGTTTGACATACTACATAAAGAGGCTGCATGCTTTTGGGATTACTCGCCATTTACTCTTACACTTTGTAAATTCCTGCATATTACTTATTATTTTATATTGTTCTCCATTATTCTTTCCTGGGCTTTTGAGAAAAGACTTTGCTATTTTGCGTAGAGTGCTGAAGGCAGTTTGCAAAGTATGTGGTGAATCTTTTGAAGTCATTGTTAATATGCTTGTGGATAGACATCTTAAGTCTTGCAAACTCTTGGCAGGTGTTATCTTATCAGATACTAACCATCCCCTTTTTTCATATCTTTCTCCTTGTATATCTTCTGGTAGTACGAGACGTAAATACATTAAAATTCATGCACGCAAGCAAATCTATAAAAGTTCTGTAATACCTTACTTAGCTAATTTACTTTGTGACGAACAGGCTGTTAGAGTTGACCTATTAAATAACCTGTCTTCTTAAGCATGTCTCATATTCGATAATTTGTATAAAGTCAGATTTTCTTAAACCTTTTTTATATTTTATTTCTGCTTTTTGTTGTTGTTTTTTTTGGTTTTATTTTTTGGGAAAAAACTTGTTGAAATAACTCGTGCTGAGAATTCTATATTGTACCAGATTATAATATAGAATAAAGCCATTAATAATAATAATAATAATTTACCTAGGTTTGAAACCGGCAGTAGTTCTAGAAGAGGCACGGGCGGAGTGTATTACTTTATGCTCTTGTATTTTCGTTTTTTTGCTTTTCCAGGACGACTGGTAAAGACGAAAATCTGACTAAGAAGACAGTAGTTTGAACTTCTCATTGTACACCTCTGTTTTTTATTCTGTACCACATAGCTTCTAATTTCGGAAAATACGACCAAATAATACTGGGCATAGCAAGCCATCAGATCCGGGAAACATATCTGATTTTTCACAATATGATATCAAGTTTTACTTAATAAAATGTAAGTGAGAAACAACATTTCTACCGAACATAAATACTGATTGGGCGTTATTTAGTGTACAACTGTAGTAATTCGGCAAAAGTTAGTCAATATTCTAGGGTGAATTTTATAAATATTGTATTATTATTCGTATGATGCTTAAGCAGATTTAATGCCGAGTTTCATGTTTAATTAAATTTTCCGTAGAATGGGATTGTTGCTATAGATTTCTATTAATTTCCGTAAGAGGCAGATGATAAACGTAGGTATTACAATAACTGACGCCTAATTTTCAAAATTATTCCTAGAGTTGATAGTTACGGATTTCAAGGACAGCTTTCCAACATATAATGGGTTCGAAGACTTCGTCCAAGCAACTGTATAATATTGAACCTTTGGTAGGTTTGCATCTTCCCTAAAGAATTATTCGGAAGGAGTTGTATAAATATCTCGACGAAAACGGGATTTCTTCTGGAAGGCAGCATGGCTTCAGAACAGATTATTCCTGTGTCATCAATTCGTTGATAGCTCGTGGAAGTTGGTGCACTATTAAGGATCAAAAGGTACATATAGACATATGTATATTGGCTTCAGCAAAGCTTTTGACAAAGTTCCTTACAATCGGCTGCCATATGAGTTCAGTAATATCGTGGTTGGAGACAGTTTATCAATGCTGATAAAATACTTTCTAGTTGGGCGCCAACAGATAATGTGGGTGAACTCAAAGTTGTCTAGCTGGGAAACTGTGCTTAGTGGGGTGTCTCAGGGTACAGTTTTGGGGCTAGTTTTGTTCCCCTTGTATGTAAATGCCCTTCCTAGTCTCCTATCATCGTCCGGCTTGTTATGTGCTGACGTTGTCGAGATATGGAGGGCGATAGAAAGTAAAGTTGGTAGTTTGGTGCTACGAAGGACTTGGAGAAATTATCTGGCTGGTTAAAATTTGGCAGTCGTTGATAAATGCTTTCAAGTGCATTGTGATGCATATTGGTCATTAAAGTATAGATACATACATGGTGAATAACATTGACCAAACTGTTTTAAAGACACAAAGACTTAGGAGTCACCGTTAGACAAAGCTTGAAAACTAATGCACATTACCGTGCAATAACCGTCGAAGATTGTAGAACCCTATGTTCAATACATAAGGCCTTAGGCCATGTAAATGTTAAAACCTCTTCAACTTTGTATACAGTGTTCGTTCGTCCTATACTAGAGCGCAGCATACAAGCAGTTAGCCACTGCCTAAAAATAGATAATGAGTTGTCGGGAGAGGTTCACAGAACCGTGTCTAGGCTGATTTCTGGAATAGCAAAACCCCTGTGTGATGCTCTACTGACTAAACTAAACCTAATTACATTATTATATCGAAGAACCAGAAGTGACTTGATCACAAATTCATGATACGATAAATCTGCGCTCGCTTTCCTTGGCTTCAAAAACAAAAGAAATTACGAGGACATTCTAAAACGGTTTACAAGCCTAGAACAAATTACTTGCCAACTGATTATCGACTTTCCCATCGAATCATCAACGCATGGAATTCATTACCTCCACACATGATCGAAGCTCCGTCTGTCGACGCTTTCAAACGAAAGTTCAGTTGAGTGAGAGACCACTATTTCTAGGACTAATACAGGTCACCTAGCCTACTGTCCATTCCAAACTGAAAGTTTGAAATAATATTCTACTTCTTTTGTCCTAAGAAATGTTGAAAGGGATATACACTAAAATATCTGTTTATAAGCTACCATCATCAATACATAAAAACGGGTGACAGTCAGTCATTTGTCTATTCGACTAAACTTGGAGTTTGAATTTTACTGACAACTGAAACAAATATGTGCATTTTTGGCGGCTCTTACGAATTACCCGGTGAGTATGACAACTGAAGAGGCATTGGTTTGTCTATCCGAATATGGAAAGTCGTATACGTGTCTAAGCAGTTGTAGAGACGAATATTATGACCGCTTACAGTTCCGGATTCGGAAACGTAATTCAGAATATTCGCATCACCCGTTTTTGTGGGACGATTTGGAATGTTTTAGCTCTTCAACATCAAACCTTAGTGTACATGAAGACGCCAAGGACATCAAAAAACATATTTCAACCAAAACGCTCTCTGTTTCAGAGGACGGGTAACTGCTTAAATTGCTTGATTACGTATAATGATAGCCACCTAGATAATTTATCAGAAACCTCAGTGTTAGTTGAAGGTTTGACTGCGAGTTTGCTGACATAACATCTATGTAGGCCCGCATGATGTTACACAGGTAAAGGAAAATAATGACGGCGTTTCGATCACTGAGAGAACAGATGTCGGTACCCAAACTCAAAAACCCCAAATAAAGGCAATAGAACAACCCAAAGCTTTTGTACCTTACGCTATCGGAAGTTCTCCTGGTCCTACGTTGGGGGCTAGAAAAACTTTCAACGTTAAGTCAGACCGAGATGTAAGTAGACATTTTAACCTCTTGGGTCATTATTGCTACATAAATGCTGTGGATTTGTTGTGCGATCATTACTGTCGAGTCTATCTTATCTCAATCCTGCTAGATCATAATCAATTAGGTCCATAAAATCATATACATTCAAAAGTTGATGTTTCTTTTTATGTGCGTAGACTTACTCAGATTTTTTCTGGCTTGGCGACTTAAACTCAGAAACCCTGTACAACTTCAATACTTCACTGAGCTAAAATGAAAAATAATTTCAGGTCTTTGAATTCTAAGCTGTTCGTCACACCAACAGCGTCATACAAATTTTGCGCTTCATATGTAGTGCCAAATTTGGGTTGTGTCAGGGTTTTCATTTCTTATCATCTTAGATTAACTATTTTCAAATAAATAGTTGCATTATAATTTTTGGGTATTTCTTTCCAGCCGTGAATACTTTAGGTTGAAAAACTTTGTGCGAATACTAAAATGTCACGAAAACAGTTGACAAACAAGTCTTTCAAGGACTGCCACCTCGTCTATGTGCAAATAATTCGACCACTATGTTCATCAGTTTGCATGCCAACTTATCATTTTTCAGTAAATGACTTCACAATTAGGTAGTGTAAAATCTTGAGAAAATATTTATCAGTTTGGATAGCTGTACCATTTCAAGATAGCAAAACCTGGAAGTACAATAGCTGATACTAAGTACGTATGAGTACTAATTTTATTTACTTTCTTTGCCAGGTTTATCCTTCTGCTATACGTGCTGAGGCTCGCCGTAAAGAAAGGCTGAATAGTTTTACGCATACGCATACCGTAAACTCCAAAGTGTCATCTAAAATATGTGGGCCAAAACAGTGTATTGTGAAAAGTAAGGCAATTGAACTAAGTAAAACTGAAAAACCCGTTCCTACCATCCACAAGTCAACAAGAGTTAGCAGTGTGCCGCAACTATCTGGGTTGGGTGCTTCACATTATCGCTCAAACAACAATATCAACTGGGAGCCAAAAAACTTGTGGATTTCGGAATATGTTCAGAAATACCCGTCTTATCCATCTTCAGTATATGTTCGCAGCGCATCTGTTGCTGCTGGTCGTTCTCGTCCACTTTGCTTCTCATACAGTCGACCATCATCCTCCCTTCTGGGGAGTTTAGTTCCATCTACACCAGTACTGTTAAGCTGTCGTGGATCGAACTCTACTATGAGAAGTCGTCGTGAAACCCATTGTGATATTTGTTCTACATCAAATCTCAATGAAAAATGCAACCGTCCAATTCTTAGCGTTTACTAATAGCAGTCACTTATTTTCGGTTGACTGAAGTAAGATTGCCAACCCGATTATCGTTTCTGACTGCGTATTACTACACCTTCCGTCTCGTTCAATTCTATTAATACGTATCATTCCTCCTACGTACGAAGTCAACTTAGTTTTCTTAAAATTGTTATTATTTGGTATCATTATATGCCTTGAGTAATGTTTTGGCAAATACATACGTTTAATACGTTGTTCACTTTTGTTTGTAATGTTCCTTTACTACGAAGTATGGTGTTTTTGTTTGGTATTTGGTAGCTATTGATTTGATGATTTTGTGTTCTTAAGGATTACTAACATTTTAAAACTAATTAGGTCAGCTAGCTATAAAGTTTGGTACTATTCTTTCTTTCTTTATTTATTTGAACATAAATATTTGTACAAGGTGGCACCATATATATATGTGACACAAAAAATTGTCATTTCATTTAATTGTGTGAGGGCTACGATACTGCCCAGATGCCCAGACTAAAGCACGTGGTTTTCTTAGGGGGCCACACCCCGAGTCTTTGACCTGAAGGTCTAGTCCACAAGGCAGTAGAGTAACGTCAGGAGATGCGGTCCCATGGTAGCCGGTGACCAACAATAGGTTCATACGCCATTCGTTCCATCAGGATCCTGGAGCCCATATGCACCATTGGTTTTGAATCAGAGTTTTCCAACTTTCCTGGGTGGACTTTCCGTGTCCACCAATCCGGTTTAAGCGCCGGACATTCCCCTTTCGTCTTCTCAACTTCGTAAACAACACCCCCACCGCAAGAAGGTAGTGAGTAGGATTTCCCTGACAGAGGTTGCATGCACGTGGCCGTGTGAGAGCATTTCAAGAGAGAGTGCAGACTCTCCCCACTCTCGGCAGTACCAGGGCATTTGGAGGCAAAAGTTTGGTACTACTGAAAGGGCTTTCAAATTTTCGCTTGGTTTTGATGACTGGTTTATTTATGAACAGTTTGTATTAATTTTTATTGGTGATTTCAAAATTGTGTGGTTACTGTCTTCGCACCAAAGAAATTCATTGCAGGCAAGCAATCATGTCAGTCTATAGTTTTCTATAAATGGCATACCCGGATTTAGGTCGTTTCTAATTTTTGTGACTCATTTGTCTCTTCATTTCATTGTTCAATCTGATGAGTTCTAAAATTCTTTTGAGTGTTACTTTTTCTCATCGTAGAGCGGTCTCCTAGTGGCTAAGGTGTCCCAGGTTCGAGTACAACCCCGTCTATTTCGGTCTAGGAAGTAAGATAGTGTCATTAGCCTCCATACTTAGAGCGTAGCTCATGCTTGTGTACACTGATTGCCAATTGACTAAGTGTGGATTGCATGGCTTGGGATTCATCGCATAGTAAGACAATATCATCCGCATACTTAAGGTCTAGAAGTTTTCTCCAGGCAACATATCCCCACCGCCATTACCTACATTCATCAGAGCTGTTTCGAGAACGTCATCGATTGCAAATTAGTAGGGGTATGGTGATTTGTAAAGAACCTGTAGAAACCCAGTGGTTATAAGCGGGACATTTCAAAAGGCCGTAGGCGACTTAACTCGCCATTTTCATGACATCATGCAACTGCAGCCAATGCTCGTCTATGCTGTTCAGTGGGCTGGTAGGTAACCCTGAACCTAGCTCGGTTTGATATTAAGTTTCATCAGAAGCTATACCGTCATCTTCACAGATTGTTTCGCTCACACCAGACTTCTTGCTGCCAGTGACTTGAGTGAGTTGAAAGACCTCTCGGTAGTTACCAGATGCAGCTGCTGCTTCCATCTCATTAGCACGCTCAGACCACCACGCTTCTCAGTCCTTGCGCAAGCTCTGCCCAATTCGATTGCGTACATGTCCAAGCCACCGAAGTCGGTGTTTCAAGATACTAACTTCAATTGAATTATCGTCTCTGTGCCTGAACACACGATGCCGAACCTCTACATTACTAACATGGTGTTGCCACTGGATGTCAGCAACCCTTCGGAGACAATGATGATCAAGCATAGATAGTCGTCTAACATCCTCAACTCGGAGAGTCCAGATTTCACAAGCATAGAGCAAAACTGCTCTCACTGACGCGTTGTAGATCCGACCTTTTACAGACAGACTAACATCACAAAGGCGCCAAAGATGGCCCAGATTGGCATAAGCCGCTCTGACTTTCACTATACGTGAATTGATCTCATCACTCACGTCACCACCAGCACTTACGCAGCTACCCAGATGCGCGAACTTCTCGACTACTTCTATCTGCTCACTACCCAGGGTGAGTGCAGGTTTAGGGTCTTACCGGTTTTGTAAAAGTACTTATCACTTCTAAGGTGCGAAGCGCATACCGTACCTGCGGACACTGATTGCCAACTGATTAAGTGCGGACTGCATGGCTCGGGTATAATCGCACAATAAGACAATATGATCCGCATACTCGAGGTCAAGAAGTCTTTCTCCAGGCAACAGATCCACATCGCCATTAATTACATTCATCAGAGCTGTTTCCAGAACGTCGTCGATAGCAAAGTTGAAGAGAAATGGTGAGATTAGGCAACCCTGCCTAACCCCATTGCTTGAATAGAACAATGGAGAAAGGTGGTTGTATGGCTTCACTCTACCTGAGGTGTTTGTATATAGGGCTTTTAAGATAATAATAAACTTCTCGGTCACAGCCTTATTCAATGGACAATCCCAGAGAACAGTCCTGTCCAACGAATCGAAGACAGCCCTGATATCAAGAAACACTACAATTGTTGGCCTGTGATAAGTATGACGGTGTTCTAACATTTGGCGGAGGGTGAAGATGTGATCAATGCATCCTCGACCAGAATGAAATCCAGCCTGCTCCTCGCGAGTCAGTCTTTCTCGAGTTTAGAACAACCTACGAAGAATGACAGAAGCCAATAGTTTGGACGCAATCGGAAATAGACTTATCTCCCGATAGTTGTTACAGGAACAACGTGAACCCTTTTTAAAGATAGAGACGACTACCGACTCATTCCATGACGTTGGAACGCTCTCTAGCTTCCAGACCTTTGTAAACAACTCAGTCAGTTCCTTAGCCAGAAAGTCACGACCATCTTTAAAAATAGCCGGAAGTAAGTCATCTGGACCCGGTGATTTGTAGCGCTTTAAGAGTTGGATTTCCTTGAGGACTTCCGCCTCATTTAGTGGAGCAGTCGTCGCGGGTCATGGAGGGCAGGACAGTCCAATCGGTGTTGCCAAGGCCGCAGACCAGTTGAACTGCTCCTCGGAAATCTCTGCCCATTATCCAAGACGTCGTTTGATGTTAGTGATTGGTATTCCGTCATCTTCACAGATTGTTTCCCTCACACCAGACTTCTTGCTGCCAGTGACTCGAGTGAGTTGAAAGACCTCTCGGTAGTTACCAGATGCAGCTGCTGCTTCCATCTCATTAGCACGCTCAGACCACCACGCTTCTCAGTCCTTGCGCAAGCTCTGCCCGATTCGATTGCGTAACAGCCTTCGTTTGTAGTCAAACTCACGGTCACCTGGAGTAGATCGACGGGCTTCGATGAGTTGTAAAGAGCCTGAAGAAACCCAGCGGTTATAAGCGGGAAATTTCGCAAAGCCACAAGCGGCTTTACTCGCTATTTTCATGGTGTCATGCAGTTGCAAACAATGCTCATCTATACTTTTCCGTGGAATGCTAGCTAGTCTAGAAGCTAGCTCGGTTTGATACTTAGTTGTAACAGAAGTTGCAACTAATTTACTGACATCAATCCATTTAGGACAGTGTATTTGTTGGCCACTGAAAAGTAAGGTGAGATTGGCGCAAATAAGGGAGTGATCAGAGTCCAAACAGGTACTCCAAAAGGAGGGGCAGTCTTTTACACAATCACGCCAGTGGTAGCTAATCGCGATGTGATCAATCTGAGTCCAGGCTTGAGATGCAGAGAGAGGACCCCAGTTGGCACATCTGCGATGACTGTGCTGGTAGTCAGTGCTAGCCAGAAACAGGTTGTAGTCTGCGCAAAATTGTAGTAGCCGGTCATCGTTATCTGACCTGCGACCGATAAGTCCCCACCGACTACCTAAACGACTCTCTTCTGAGCCTAGCCGCTCGACCTGAGCATTCAAGTCTCCAGCTAATACTACAATATCTGTCGAATTTACTTTCTGTAGAACAGGTAACTGGTGATAAAACTCATTCTTAGTCACATCCGAGCTGCAATCTGTCGTAACGTAGGCGAAGATGGCAAAAAGACATCGCTTCTCACATCGATTTCTTCTTACTTTGATGGAACTTTCTAATCTGACAACACATAACCGACTGTTGATGGGGATCCAATCGATTAGTGCTGCCTCAGCGCTAGCGCTTAGTGCAACACCAACGCCTGCAAGACCAGACAGATGCCACATGGTCCCCAGATAAACGTGCGTAAAACAAGCTTTTAGAAGCAACAGATGGAAAACGAATTTGTATTACTTCACTAGAGTCTTGAATACGGGTCTCGGATAGACAACAGACGTTGATATTAAGACTTTGTAAAGACATTTCCAACCCTATCTGTTGTTCGATCTGCATTAGTGTGCGAACGTTGAAGGAGGCCAGCTTGAACGGCGTACGTGGTTTCAGAAAGACTGCTTCAGTATTCGTAATCGGTGGAAACATTCACTTTCAACCAGACAGTGACTGGAGATCATTTAGATAAGACAGGGTTTCTAACGTAGGCGAGCTGCTGTATAAGTTGAAAAATGAACTACGCGAAATGAGAATAAAGGGAAATGCATAAGTGACGCAGTACAAAAGAAATAAAAACGAATGTTATCAAATGATTGTGAGTGGGATTTGTCTGAATGTGAATTGAAGCGAGAATGATTTTTCCAGTAGTAGTCACCGTTTGGTTTGTGTGAGGGCTGTGATATTGCCCAGACCGAAGCAGGTAGATTTTTAGGGTGCCACATCCGGAACCTTCGACCTAAAGGTCTAGTCCACAAAGCAGTAGAGTAACGTCAGGAGATGCGGTCCCATGGTAGCCGGTGACCAACAATAGGTTCATACGCCATTCGTTCCATCAGGATCCTGGAGCCCATATGCACCATTGGTTTTGAATCAGAGTTTTCCAACTCTCCTGGGTGGACTTTCCGTGTCCACCAATCCGGTTTAAGCGCCGGACATTCCCCTTTCGTCTCCTCAACTTCGTAAACAACACCCCCACCGCAAGAAGGTAGTGAGTAGGACTTCCCTGACAGAGGTTGCATGCACGTGGCCGTGTGAGAGCATTTCAAGAGAGAGTGCAGACTCTCCCCACTCTCGGCAGTACCAGGGCATTTGGGGCTTCCGAAATAACCACTGGTCCACAGGTAGTGGCTGCATAAGAAAACCACCTGCTCCGGTTTTGGTGCCCGAGCAATATCCCAGCTCACACACAAATCATTCGATTTGTGTGGCGCATATATATTTGCTGTCTTCTACTAATATTTATGTGTTGAAATAAAAAGGATACTAGTAATTAATAAAACAGTCAGATCTTAATTGATTGAAGAACAAGTGACCTACAAGCTAAACTGAGTGAACTCTTTCCACACTCGATCGTATCAGATTGTTTTGGGGCGCGTTATTCAGTAGTAGTTATTCTCTAAGCACCGAAGATCTTTATTGTGTTCAATCCTGAGCTTTGCAGTTCCGTTTATTGGTAAGGTCTGCCAAATCATTTTGCGATTTCCGTTCATCTTCCCCTCTTTAGATGTGTTTGCATCACGTACCAATCAGTTTCAAGCATTAGGACCTAGTGGCATTTTTGGACCAAAAGTCTGTCCAGTGTGTTCACTTGCATTTAGCTCTGTATGTGAAACCACAACTTGTATTTCGATACAATTTACAAGCTCTAATGTGAATAATGGTGAAAATATAAATTTTTGTCAAAGCACAGACATTAAATTCATAGAGTCATTAAATAACGGGTTACGTTTACTGTTTAATTCTTTAAATTGATGGGATCTTTTTTTTCTGCAAGATGCTTAGGTTTAAACAATGATTACCAGGAAGCGCTCATACTCATCACGTTCCCGTTCCAGGTCATCAGGATTTTATACACCAAGACGAAAAAACCGATCCAGGTCAGTAATATTTTTCGCTAATCAAATTTTGGGAGTTTTTCTTATCTAATTTTTATCTTGTTGGATTTTTTAAATTAAATCGTGGGTTGTAATTGCTTATTATACAAGATTCCACCTAGCCTTTGGTTAGTAAGTCAATAAGAACTAATTGAGTTTCTTGATTATTTCTCTTCAGTTTGCATTAAGTTCACACTTATCAAACTGTAATTACATATTATGTTGTGAGCGACACTTAGTTTAATAAGGATAAGTTGAATCGCCTTTTGGCATGTGTTTAAATCACTTTTAAAAATAGCTTTACCAATCAATTTTTCAACCATTCACCTAATATCCTAACGAAGCGTTCTAAAGTTGATCGCACATAAAATCATGATTCCACTATATTTTGAAGTGAAAATACGATTCCGCCCCAATCGATGTCTAGCGTGACGGTTAAGGCTGAGAATCAAGTAAAACTCCAGATGTTTGAAATAAAACTGACTCAACACTCTGTAATGTTGTTGCTACGTAAATAACATTAGGAACTAGTTATACTTACTAAATTTGCTATCATATAAGCGCTTCTGGGTCACGCTTTATCTTTTTGGTGTATTGAAAACTTATTCACAGTAAAACTGACCAACCCTTTTACATTCAGTGTAGAAATTAAACGATCGAGGTAATAAGTTTTAATTTTAGTATTATATGCTGTCCAAAATGATCTATAGACTCTAATTTTTCCTCGAAATCCGTTACCCAAACGTTCCTGTCATACTCTTTGAAAAAGTACAAATAAGGCGAAGAAACATTTCTCAAATACTTTCTCGTCCACATTATATTTTTGCTGATGAACCACATTTCATTACATATACGTCTACAATATTATTATTATTATTATTATTATTATTATTATTAATATCAATATTAATGTACATCGTCACCAAAAATGGTTAGTTTCTCATAGATCTTGTTTGTGATAGGTGCATGCATGAAACTTATTCATTTTTAGTCAATCAGTCATAATCAATGTATGAATTGGCACAAATGTATATTGACCCAAGTAATCGCAACACCATATCACAAGATAACATTAACATAATAAACAGTAAAGGAGTTAAAATAATTTAGTTGCAACAATAAAAAGAATAGTTAAACCCTGGGAATATGGTTCAAGAAGAAGTTAAAAGATATGTTTGAAGGAATACTAAAACTAAAGATCGAGAGCGAAATAAAGAATGGATGACTCTGCTCCATGTCACCCAAAGTCTCTAATCATCGTCATAAAAATCATGTGGTCCTTACCAAGTATGCAATCTGTACCTGCTTACGTGACTCAGTTTAACAGTCACTGGCTTTATAGACCGATGCCAAATTTTGACTTGGCCATCCCCAACCTTCTGACTTATACACCAGCAAAGACTGCCTATCGATGTAGGCGATATATAGGAATATGTAACACATGTCTCAACTACTTCACTTAATGAAGATTCAAAATCTTGTCAACCCACTTGTCATCTTTACCTAACCTCAGCTCATTCAATGGTCCTAACATGCGCGAGCGCTGCTTCAAACCATCTGTGGTCAAATACCAGTACAATCTATTTTTAAGTCACATCTCATACCAATGACATTAAACAGAACGGATTGCTACTCAGTAAACTCATTCGATTAACAGACAAATTTCTTCCCTATGACATAGGTGATGTAATTTCGTCAGACAAACCCATCCGGGGTGATCAGACTTTCAAGACAAGTGAACTAGTCAACTCACTTAGCTATTTCCCTCCCCATTATTGGTTGAGGAAATGACACAGACCAGTTCTGAAGCAGCATTTCGGATTTAATTAGAGAAAAATCACCTCAAATGTTTGTATTATTGCTCAAGGCAATCAAAGAACACTTTTTCTCCGTTTTCACCAGCAGGAATACATGGTTTGCGTACTCCAAGTCGATAGTTAAATTTATTGGCAGATCAACTGATACGCCAGATGATGAAAGTGTTATCTATGAAGGGATTTCTGTGACAATGTTCAATAAAAATGGTGAAAGCGGATAACTTCTATGAACACCATTTTAGATTGATATTTACGGCGACAGATCCACATAAGTTCTTACTCGACCTAAGTATTAATCGAGGGGTCGAGCAGAGATCCTTCACAAAATCTATATAATTTGATATGGTTTTCAGCAATAGATATTTCCACAGAATTTCTCGATGACAGAATCGAATGTTACCTTGAGGTCACGAAATACCACTATAGTCAGGCGTCGGTAAGTACGCATACGTGATAAAACTTAATGAAGAGTGAATATTTGGTCAATGTATCCAAGTCTGGAACCAGTTGGGTTTTCCTAGGTTCGCTATTTACGAGCCCTTTTCAAACCTGTGGATTTTGAAATTGGGCTTCTACTAAGGCATTCGTTCGTTTCAACAACACACTTGAAACTTTTCCAGTAACAAATAGTAGTTTGATCACTCTGTAGTCCTCAAACTTCCTGAGATCCTTTGGTATCTTGACAAGGTGTCTTTCCAGTCTGTCGTTACTGATAGTACAGTTGGATTCATAGGTTTCCTAGCTGCCATAGCTATCCATTGACTGTGCAGCACTCTACCTGTAGCTGTTGGGTCATCACCTCGGAGGCACTAGATGAAATGAGATGTCGGCGACTTGTCTTTCGCTTCCTCATTCAGCGTAGGTAACACATGTCGAAGTAGGTTAGTCAGGGTGTATGAAAACATATATAGGTTTCCGTCCGGCACAAGATGCATAACTCGATACCGCTGTGACGACGTTCGCCAATCAGCCGGACTGCCAAACTTCATCAGCATATGTAAAACGGGTATGTTCTACGATTCCTTACCGCCCACAGAAGCGAATCCACGGAATGGTTTTGTCGCCCTGCCGTAAAATAATGTTGCTGATCAGTAACATAAGTGATCTCTGTCGAAGGACTGGAGGCCTGATCGAGTTGGATGGGAACAGCGTGACGGGCCAACTTACAACCAGGTCCACTTTCACGGTTGATGCCTAACGTGGATTACTTTTTCGCCATATTCAGGTACTATGGCTGCTTTTATGACCGTATGACACAAACAACGTTATTACAGATATATACCAATAAGAGTAAGCACAAGGGATAGAGTGAGACCATTACTGTATAGGCCAGTCCATGGCGTGCCATTAATTGATGCGCGTTGGTTGTCCTTGACCTTGACGAAGACCGGCAAACTGTCCTATATTCAGTGATCTGACTGCCGGATGATTTGCCAAGGGATGTGACATTTCAGTGGCACTTTTATACTCCCCCACCAGATTCAAAGTGGTTTGAATCTGCACTATACACAGGGGTACTCGCTCGCCGAAGGTTGCCAAATGATCCATAAAGACCCTTTGGGTATTGCTGAGCTTCAAGACAAATGGAAAGGAGGCGGCAGCAGCTGATCGGGAAATAGTGAGTAACAATGATCCTAGAAATGTTGGGTTTGTCATTATGCTTAAAAGTATGACATACAGGTTGGTTAAATGTCAAGCAATTAACAATGACAACGATAAAAACTATGGCATTTTAAGGTTTTATCAATCTGTATTGAAATTCATTGCGTTGACAAGTGATTGAGTTGCTCAGATGGGCAACATTCAATTCGCCGTAAGAGTAATGATGCTACAGTGTTAATATGAATAGTGTATCATCAATTGATGCTGATGTTTGTACTCTCTTTGACCTTAATTAGAAAGTCAGTTTGTTTCGTTGACAAATTCCCGTTCGTATGTGTCGAATTCTGGTCCTATCTATATTTAGCAGAATAACTGAAAGTGCAGAAGCGTAACTGTTGATAAAAGAAATCGTAATTCCACCGTACAAATTTATTGATCACTGACCAGTCAGAGGATGAAAAACTGATTATTGTTGGTGCAATTAGTAAAGGTAGTAGACCACATATCGAGAATGAAAGTCGAACAATGAACTTGTCTTTACAAAATAATAAATGATGTATTCTGCGTGCATCCACTCTTTGTGTTCTCCAAAATTCTAATCTTCTAAATTCTTCATGTTCCTTTCTTTTTCTCTCTTTCCGAATTTATTTCGCTGGATTATACTCCCTGAATAACATCTTCAAACCTTAATCTTTCCTATTACTGCTTATACTCTTACTACCTCTACCACTATGGGATTTGAATCGACAACTGCGTCTCTGTGCTAATGTGGTATGGCAACTCGAACTGATTTACGTACGTAAGAAGTTTTGCGTTGTGACTGAGTGCTTATTTGTTCGATATCTGAAGCAAAGCATATCAGAGAGAACATAAGAGACCAAGGACTGCCATATTGGACTCATGTCAATGATATTGGTGCGAAACTCCGTTAATGTCCAGGTAGAGGCGACACTGTTGTTTCCATTTTAAAGAAGATTTTCTCGATTGAAGAAACTGATAATTATGAGGAACGACTGTGCTGCCAGACCACCATCTGAACTGAACAGTTTGTGAATCGTTGAATACTTGAACAGTTGATCCAAAACATGTAAACCAACATAATGTACCTGTTATTGCTGTGAACCTTCTTGTCAGGCTATTTAAACACCGATATAGCAATGACTAAATACTACAAATTTAGGGAAATTACCTATTTCAAAGGTTGTATCAACTGTTTGAATCGGCAAAGAACAATAAGCAGCAGGAAAAAGGCGATTTGGCCTAAAGTTATCACTTTCTACTTTCAACGGCTCTGAGTGGTTCGATATACGGTGATGGTAGCTACTAAAATAATAACGATTGAATACGCTTATTAGTCATCTTCTTCCACAGGTCTCTGTGGTTTACTATATTTCCCTACTAGTTTTTTCGTTGTATCACATAGTTGTCTGATATATCCTTCTCTTGGAGCTTTTTCCGTTATCACTGCTGGTTCCATGTATTTCTGCTTCACCGGTCTAGTACTCCTCTTCACTTACTTCTTTACTTCTGTGTATTCAGTCTGTGCCTTAACTTTCTCTGTTCTTGTTCGACTGTTGTACTTATTCGTAACAATAACGTTACCAAGATTTGATTTTCATGAAAACTAAGTCTATTAAAATTAAAACATTTTAATTGTAGTGCCTACCTATTACAAATCATAATCGGTGTTTCATTTTAGATCCAATGAACGCTCTAAGTTCAGTTCGTCGTTGAAAGAAAGGTATGTGGTCGCTAAATAACCTGACATTTTGTATCGATAGCACATTTTTAATCTTATTAGTTTGAAATATTTTTTTGTCAGTATAGTTTTCTCCATCTTGGGACATACTACCTAGTATTTATAAGTAGTGCAAGTGTATAACGCGCTTAGTAGTGTCCCTTAGTTCAGACAGATCCTCTATCATATTCGTCTGTCACTCTATTTTCATGTGTTAATTTATCCTTCTACTAATAGCTGTTTCTCTCCCTTTCCTTGTTCAGCCTCTCTGAACCCACTACAATTTAAAGCTATTTATCTCGAAAAATTGTCATTTTCGTAATGTATCGCCCAATTTATTCACTCTAGATAAGCTATATGCTCTTTCTTGATATTTTTTTTGGCGAATTCGTTCTTATTCATTTATATAAATGGTTTACTCATTTGATTAGGCTTTTTACGGTGTAATTATCACTCAAAAACCATGATTCGATGTTTATCTACTCATCCTTTCTTCGCTTTTGATTTCGGCACTGCACGTTGGTGAATGCAAACTAACTATTTATGGTTGCGTAAAATTTATTAGAGTGATGATAAGTTAGGGTCAGCCATGCTCACGTACTTCATTTTCTGTGCAACCAATGTACATTAACTTAAACTGTATAGATAAATAATTTAAAATTTAGTTTACCTTTCTCATAAATTTAGGCCCAAACTTAACGTTTATGTAAATCTAAACAACCTATTAGTATCGCCGTTTGTTGTTTGATACTTACTGTTACTTACGCCTGTTACTCCCAATGGAGCATAGGCCGCCGACCAGCTTTCTCCAACCCACTCTGTCCTGGGCTTCCTTTTCTAGTTCTATCCAGTTCTTGTTCATTCTTCGCATGTCTGTCTCTATTTCTCGGCGTAATGTGTTCTTTGGTCTTCCTCTTCTCCTTTAACCTTCAGGATTCCATGTGAGGGCTTGTCTTGTGACGCAATTAGCTGATTTCCTCAAGGTGTGCCCAATCTACTTCCAGCGCTTCTTCCTGATTTCTTCCTCTGCTGGAATCTGGTTTGTTCTCTCCCACAGTAACTTATTGCTGATAGTGTCTGGCCATCGGATCCGAAGTATTTTCCGTAGACAGCTGTTGATGAACACTTGTATCTTCTGGATAATGGCTTTCGTAGTTCTCCACGTCTCCGCCCCATACAGTAGAACTGTCTTGACATTTGTATTGAAAATTCTAACCTTGGTGTTGGTTGACAAATGTCTTGAGCTCCAGATGTTTTTCAGTTGTAGGTATGCTGCTCTTGCTTTGCCGATCCGCGCCCTCACATCTGCATCTGATCCACCGTGTTCATCAATGATGCTGCCCAGATATGTAAAGGTTTCCACATCTTCCAAAGCTTCTCCGTCAAGTGTAATTTGATTGGTGCATATTGTGTTGTATCGGAGAGTCTTGCATTTCTCTTTGTTTATATTGAGACCTACTGCTGCTGAGGCTGCTGCTACACTGGTCGTTTTCTGCTGCATTCAACACCTGAACTAAGGATAGGGAGTGAAGTAGTCGAACGCGTGGACAACTTCACTTATCTTGGATATCTGATCAGCCCTAATGGGTTGGTGTCTGACGAAATCTCAGCACGGATTCGAAAAGCTCGTTTGGCTTTTGCCAACTTACGTCACCTATGGCGAAGACGAGATATCCGTCTATCAATTAAAGGACGAGTATACTGCGCATCAGTTCGCTCTGTTCTACTTTACGGTTGTGAAACATGGCCATTAAGAGTAGAAGATACTCGTAGGTTACTAGTATTTGACCACAGATGCCTTAGAAATATTGCTCGCATCTGCTGGGATCATCGGGTAAGTAATAGTGAGGTTAGACGCAGGGTATTAGGGAACGATGGTAAATCAGTCGATGAGGTGATGAATCTTCATCGACTGAGATGGTTGGGCCATGTGTTACGTATGCCTGAACACCGATTACCACGACGCGCAATGCTGACTAGTGTAGGGGATTGTTGGAAGAGAGTTAGGGGCGGCCAAACCAAAACATGGCATCAGTGTTTGAAGTCACTAACTTCTAGTCTGAGCCATGTTGACAGATGCAGACTACCTGGTTGGGGTCCGCGTGACTATCGTAACCAATGGTTGGAGACTCTAGGTGACGGCTCAGAATCGATCACAATGGCGTAGGTGTATACACTCTTTATCTTCCTTTAAACCTTGAGACTAAAATTGCTTCATATCTCTCTTCCTTCCTATACTATATCCTTATATACAACCTATAATTTATATACTACTACCACCAGTAAATTAATTACTTCTATGAATCCGGTGTTCCTCTTGTTGTGCTAACGAGGTATGGCAAGTTTGACCGATGCATATATGTGCCTGGTCCTACGTTGTAGCTGACTGACTGACTGACCTGCATTTGTTGTTGCGTTTGTGATAGAAGAGCCAGATCATCCGCGAAGTCTAGATCGTCAAGTTGCATCCTGCCTGTCCACTGTATCCCGTGATTTCCTCCAGATGTTCACGTCTTCATGATCCAGTCGATGACCAGGAGAAAGAGAAAGGGTGAGAGTAAGCAACCTTGCCTAACACCGGTCTTTACTTGAAACGAGTCGGTGAGTTGTCCTCCGTGGACGATTTGGCAGTTTAGTCCATCATAGGAGTTCCGTATGATATTTACTATCTTCTCAGGCACGCCGTAGTGTCGAAGAAGCTTCCATAGTGTCGTCCTGTCCACGCTATCAAATGCCTTCTCGTAGTCGATGAAGTTGATGTAGAGTGATGAATTCCATTCGATTGATTTTTCCACAATGATCCGCAGAGTTGCGATTTGATCTGTGCACGATCTATCCTTACGAAATCCAGCTTGTTGATCTCGAAGTTGGGCGCCCACAGAATCCTTCATCCTGTTTAACAATACCCTGTTGAAGACTTTTCCTGGTATTGAGAGAAGAGTGATGCCCCTGTAGTTGTCGCACTTGCTCAGATCGCCTTTCTTTGGTATCTTGATCAGAAGTCCTTTTTTCCAGTCTGTTGGTACTTGTTCTTCGTCCCAAATCTCACTGGAAAGGATGTGGAGTATCTTTGCAGTTGCTGCTACATCTGCTTCCAGTGCCTCTGCCGGGATGTTGTCTGGTCCCGCTGCTTTGCCACTCTTGACTTGTCTAATGGCCATGCTGATCTCTTCAATTGTTGGTGGGCCAATATCGATTGGGAGGTCCGTGGGTGCTGCTTCGATGTTGGGTGGGTTCAGTGGAGCTGGTCGATTCAAGAGTTCTTTGAAGTGTTCTACCCACCTGTTTCGTTGTTCTTCAATGTCGGTGATTACTTTGCCTTCCTTGCTTTTCACTGGTCTTTCTGGCTTACGGTAATTTCCAGCAAGTTTCTTTGTTGTATCATACAGTTGTCTCATGTTTCCCTCTCTTGTAGCCTTTTCCACTGTCGTTGCTAAATCTTCAACATATTTACGTTTGTCGGTTCTGATGCTCCTCTTCACTTGCTTGTTTGCCTCTGTGTATTCGGCTTGTGCCTTGGCTTTTTCCGCTCTGGTTCGGCTGATATTAATTGCTGTCTTCTTGCTCCTCCTTTCTTCAATCTTATCCAGTGTACCAACAGTGATCCATTCCTTGTGATGGTGCTTCTTTTGGCCCAGAACCTCTTGACACGTTGAAACTATTGCCTCCTTGATACCTTTCCAGTTGCTCTCCATGGTAGTCCCCTCTCCATTGAGTAGGTCATGAAAGGCCTGGAACCTGTTGCTGAGGGCTATGTTGAATTTGTTGAGTTTGTCAGCATCTCGAAGAAAGGCCGTATTAAACTTTTGTGATGTTGTCCGCGCCGTTGTCCACTGCTTCTTGAGTTTTAGTTTCATCTTGGCGACCAGCAAATGATGATCGGATGCTATATCAGCTCCTCTTCTGGTTCTCACATCCTTCATCGTCCTCCTGAACTTTTTGTTGATGCAGATATGGTCGATTTGATTCTGTGTAGTGTGATCCGGTGAAATCCAAGTGGCTTTGTGTATGTTTTTGTGTGGAAATATGGTGCCACCTATGACCAGTTTATTGAAGGCACATAGGTTTGCAAATCTCTCACCATTTTCATTCCTTTCTCCCAGTCCATGTTGTCCCATGACGTCTTCGTATCCAGTGTTGTCCATTCCAACCTTAGCATTGAGATCTCCCATCAGAATTGTCAGGTCCTTGGTTGGGCACTTCTCGACGATCGACTGCAGCCTATCGTAGAATTGGTCTTTAGCGTCTTCATCGTAGTCATTGGTAGGCGCATAGCATTGGATGACGTTCATTGTAATGCCCTCTCTCCTTGTTCTGAAGGAAGCTTTGATGATCCTTGGTCCATGAGATTCCCATCCTATAAGTGCATTTTGTGCTTTTCTGGACAGTATCAATGCAACTCCTTGTGTATGTGGGGCATTTTCTTCTTCATGACCGGAGTATAACAGAAGTTCTCCTGAAGACAGTCGTTGTTGTCCAACCTGCGTCCAATGTGTTTCGCTGATCCCAAGAACCTCCAGGTTGTATTTTCTCATTTCTGCAGCAATTTGGAAAACTCTTCCGGTCTCCCACATAGTTCGGACATTCCATGTACCTATAAAAATTGTCGCTCTGGTTGTAAGAAGGTGCATCGGCCTCATGACTTCCGAAGGAACTCGACTTTCATCATGAGACTTCATAATTATTCCTTCTACTCCCAGGGCAGAGTTTGAAAGGTTTGAATGATTTTTTCTGGTTAGCGTTTTTTTAGCGAGTTGATTTTGTACGGGATGGGGTCGCTAACCCCATGCCCAACCCTCCTCCTTTAACCGGGCTTGGGACCGGCAGTAACCCCCAGAGGAGCTACAGGCGGAGTTTTTGTTGTTTGATGCAGAACTTAATTTATATCCGAAAATTAATTTTACATACTTTCCGGAAAATGAAGGAAATGAAATCGTCTTTGAAAAAAAGTGATAGTTAAGTAAACTGAAGTAGTTCATGTTGTGTAGATCCAACGTTTTTTTATCATAAAGTTACTCATCATTTTATTCACCGTTTTCATATCTTTCAGAAATCGACAAAGGTCACACTCAAAAAATTTTGACTTCAGTCCTCGACGTTCTTTAAGTCCTATCGAGCGAAGTAAGAATTCAACATTGTCTAGGTCTATCTCATTGTTTTTTTCTAGAATCGAAGTTTTCAAGGCTAAGAAAACCTGAAATACAATCAAGTGTTAATCCAATCACTGACTTTCAGACTGAAGGTGTACGAACTACTGCACGTGATTCACATTCTCCTATATCTTTAACAGAACGTTTCACTCGTCTGACGAATTCAGGGACGGCTGTATACAATAAACGCAGGTATGGTCGTTTTGGAGATAACCATCGTCTTCCACATCTTATACTTACCAATAATACAAAACTCCCCCCAGCAACTCTTATGCGTCAGGCTAAAGAAATTTCAATTGTCATAGAGCGAACATTTCCTCTTAGTAAGTTTCTATCTCCTGATATCAACGATATGACCAGGAATTGTTTGTGACTAAATTTTTCGTAATAATAGAGTTTTCATCCGAATGATTCATAATTTTGAGAAAATGAAAGAAAATCCTGTTATTAACTTTCTTTGTCTAATACATTAACTTTACTTCAAAATAATAATATAGTTTTTGTTGTCAAGATTTCCTTACTTAACATTCGATGATGAATATGCAAAACACTTGTCCAGACATATAATCCGTAACTCACGAGTTACCGAGGTTTGATAGGGCAAGTAGTATTATTAAAGAGTGAAGCATTTGAACGCAGTCTCCTCAAGCTTAATGGCCTGGTGTCTGACGAAATCTCGGCACGGATTTAGAAGTCTCGGTTGGCTTTTGCTAAGTTGCGTTACTTGTGACTTAGGAGAGACATCCATCGTCCAACCAAAGGGGGAGTTTAATGCGCAGTAGTTCACTCCGTTCTACTTTATAGATGTGAAACATAACCATTAAGAGTAGAGGGTATACGTAGGTTAGTAGTATTCGATCATATGTGTTTACGAAAGATTGCTAGTGTTGTTTGAGTCCACCAAGTAAGCGATGCCGGCGTTAGGTAAGGATGGCAAATCGATTGAAGGGGTAGTAAATCCTCATCAACTGAGGTGGTTGAAAAGTGTTACGTATGTTCAACCACCGCCTACCTCGATAGGCGATGTTTTCTGGTTCAGGAGCAGGCTGGAAGAAAGCTAGAGACGGTCAAACCAAAACACGGCACCAGTCTGTGAATTCACTAACAGTTGGACTTGGCCATGTGAATCATTGTAGACTGCCTGATTGGGGTCCACGTGATTATCGTAACCAATGGTTAGAGACTTTGGATGACATGATTCAAAATCGTTTGAAACGACGCCGGTACACCCATTTTTTGTTTTCTCCAAAATACAAAGATTCAAAATTCCCCATAACTTCTCTTGTTTTTAACTCGCTAATCTATATTTTCTTTTAGAGTCATATCTTCGATGCTTAATCTTTCCTATTACCACTGTTACTGTTTCTACCTCTACTATTCTGAAATTTCGCTTGACAATTTCATCTGTGCTAATGAAGTATGACAACTCGAACCGATGTACACATGAGCCAGGTTCTGTTATGTGTTTGACTGACTAACTTGTTCTCATTCTTAAGTATTATTCTAAAAGAAAGCTAGTTGATTTTGAGCTCTTCCATCTATTCAGTGATGCAAGGAATTTGAAAGGCTCAAGAGTGAACCAAACTGATTTTACTTTCAATTTCCTTTTCAATACTATTTGTTAATGTCTGTAGGCGGCAAAAGTCTTACAGATTACAAATAATCTCTAATATTATAAATAAATAATATATTTGTAATATTTCAATGAATACAAACATTAGATTTTCTGACGTTTCATGACTCATTGTAAGCCACTTCAGAGAATAAACAACCAAATTATCACATCAAAAATTGGTAATGATACCTACGATCTCTAATATTATTTTAACCGATCACATCACTAAAAAATGAGATAAGACTCATTGTATTGTGCCTCCCCACGGAAATCTTTAGTAAAAGGCGAAAGATTTATCCGCAAATGAGGAGACACATCACTACGTCATCCTCAACAACAAATAATTTTATAACCAGTGTACAAATCTCTGATTGATGAATATGTTTCATTGTTTTAACAGTCTGTTGGTTAATAACTTAATAGATTTCTAGTAACATGACTTGCTATGCACGACTGGAAGTACTGGACCGAGAGAGGAAATTTCTATACACAAGTCATGGATTTACAGATTATGCAACTCAATGACTAAGTCATTTTTCACCAATATAACTACTACTACTCCTACCACGTTATTTGTATGATTTAATTTAATGCAACGAACATTTAATCTGTGTTTTTTTATTATTAAAATAAACGTCTAATCTTTGGGACGGTGAATCATTAACAGTAATATTTATTGCCATCAATTACATAGAAGTTTATGTTTTTAAACTATTAATATTCTACTAACTCCTTAATGAATTTGATTTTATTTCACAATTATGCATTTGGTATTACAATAACAACTGGTGATTTTTATAAATATTTTATTCTTGATAGATATGGACTTATTACCACATGAAAAACCTGTGACATTTGATTTTCGTCATAGTCACATTATAATACCTCGTCGTCCAAATGAAGGTTGCAAACCTGTATTTGATCGTCCTGGAGTAAGTGTTTTTAGATCGCTTTATGTTATCATACGTAATATACGTTAACACTTGTAGGATATATTTTATTTCGTGTCATTATTGAAAGCGACCGACAGAATGCTATAATGCTAAGTCTCATTCTTGTTAACATTTTTTACAGGATCTAACACATTCTTAGATATTCAGTTTTGCCTGATATATCAACACAATCACATTTTATCACTTAGCTATTCACGTAATCAAAAAAATTATAATTTTATTCCTTATTCTTCCCACAACACTGAATCGTTATATAATGAATAAGAAAAAACATTGTTAAATCTGTAGACATCTGATATATCATCCGAGGGTTCACGCAACCAGTTATTGTCTAGCGTTTCCACAGTCATTGTTGATTAGATATAAGATTCAGTTATTCTAAACTCATATCAACTTTCGTTGCTTTGTTAAGAATTTCGTGAGATATTTATTTATTTGAACACATACATATTGGTACAAAGGCCACCAGATACATATGCACCACACAAAATAATGAAAATAGGAAGAGAAAGGATGAAAAGATAAGGGGGACTGAAATGTACAACCGGAAAACTCTTTCAGCTAAGAAAGTTAGAACCACTCTTCATGAAGAAAGTAAAAGAAGGTTACAGCAGGATCGCCACTGGCTTCTATTCTGAGCCATATCTGATAACGTCTCTAGCCACTGTGTTGCACCATCTCTCGGACCCCAGCTAGGGAGTCTTGAGGGACCAACAGAAGCTAGCCCTTTGCAGCTTTCTTTCTTGCCACGACACCATATCATACGCTGACCAGCTCTCCGCATTTTTTCAGTGCTGCTTTATCTTAGTCAAAAATGGGTTAATAAAACTGGTCTTCAGGGTGAGCTTTGTTTATCTTTGGAAAAAGTGTACACAATATATAAACAAACATTTCTTGCTATGTAATATTTATATGACCTTAAAGATAATCATTTATACAACACAAACAGATATTGAAAATAATTAATAATAATAATAAACGATCTTTTCACCTATAATGCAGTTTGTTACGGAAAGTTAGTTTAAATAGAAGTATATGTATTGTGGTAACCTCATTTTCGTTGATTGCTCCATATTATGTAGTGAAGATTCTGACTACTTCGTACAACTAATTCTTTGCTTACCAGATGAAATCACTCAAACTTCCATTATATTTTTCTGAAATCAACCGACACTACTTTTTTGTGTTGGAATTTTATCAGTTATATCCAAACTGTTCTAGTTTGACAAGGTTGTTTTTAAGTGTTGAAACCACGTATTAGTTTCTCATCTTTTCGACTACTGTGTTTAAATACAAATATATCCTTAAATATACGTACCGCTATCTAGATTTTATGGGCAACAACAACGCGGAAACTGGTTTTAAGTGTTAACCATTCTTGTTTATCTATCGTAGTCGATATTCGGCTGTCAAAACTTTTCTAAGAAGGAACCGATTTTAATGTATACTACTACACTAACGGTAGTGCAGATACACTATACGGAATCTAACTGTACTGGTTTATTTTCTGCGCATTATAGCTATCGGAATACACATGGTATTGGTGATGAATCTCAAATATCTTCAAAATATAATTTGTATATCATAAAACTTTTAAATTTTTTGAGATAGTCTTCATCCCCTCTCACTTCTGGATACTAGCTATTTATTTAAAAACATGAATTGGTATTATCTGCAAGTTTTTCTATTCTATTTAAAAGTGAATATTTATCGTGCTCTTAAAACTGTCGTGTACATATTCTAGATAGTATTTATCGTCTCCCTCCACGTGATAAGCAGGTAAAGTTAGTGTAATACACACTTTCTTTGTCATTTTTCTCTAATTGTACTGGAAAAAACTTCGGTTATCTTGACCCATCAAATCATCTTTTCTTTTACAGTTAAAGTTTTACAATACTGAAGCGGATGAAGCTCTGATTTACAAACGTTTAATGGACACGATTTCGTCCTCGAATTCACGGTATGTTGTAAATATTATTCTACTCATCATTATCCTGATATATCAAGTTATTCAACATTCAGTAATAAAGTTTTATGCAAATAACAATACAGCCATCGATGGGTTTAATTGTATCCATAAGGTAAAAATGTGTTTTGCCATCTTGAAATACTGCAGAACTTTTGTATGAACCATATCAAATCAGCTTTACTATTAAACATGGTTTTAGCGCAGCTTCGTGTGTTGTAATTTTTCCACTGGGGGCTGTATTTTGTTTTTTGATTATGAAAAACTGATGCACCTGATAAGCTATTGTATATTTTTGCCTCTAGTTATATATGATATCTGTAAAAGTTAAGTTATACATTTAAACAATTTTTATTATAATTAATGAAGTTTGGTTATACAGATACTTTTATAATTATGTTTAAAATAGTATCTCCGGCAGGTCCTCTTATACGAAAACAGGCATGGAGTTTTAATTTGTCCTAAGTTGGTAATTTGTTAATACAATTCGTTTAATTCGTAGTCATACACTATTTCTATTAGTTTGTTGTTGGGCAGTTAAAATGTAAACTTTTCATTTTGTTCTGTTTGGTGATATTAGAAGATCCAATAATACGGACAACAAAAAAGAAAGTGAGTATCACGACATAAGTCATTTTACAGGTCCCGGTCGTTTTTATGGCAGTCGAGTAGATGAACGTTTGATGGATTCAAAGCGTAGTGAGTAATTTAATTATTTTTATGTTTTGAATCCTGTTAGACCTTTACCGTAAACTCCATTCTCTCAGTCCACTAAACTGCATGTCATGAGGTATTACTATGATGTTCGTTTTTAACTTTCATTAAGTCATAAGATAGAACCTTATCATTTGAATTACATAATCTGAACCCTATCAGTCAACCACTTGTGTTACTCTTTACATCATAGATTCGGCTTAGCCTCAATCATATGCACTTGCGATTAATTACTGAGAGTCAATTTCCATCGAGTGGTTAACTAACTACTTTTGTCAAATTTGGAGAAATTCAAACTATATTATTTATAGCTCCGTCTTAAGTATTGATTAAAAGGAAATTAACTAACCTTAACTTATCCATTTTCATTAGTAGTTCTAAAGCTGGTGGTGTATATTTCCTGTCAATTAGTCGAGCATATAACAGAACCTGGCTCATGTGTACATCGGTTCGAGTTGTCATACTTCATTAGCACAGATGAAATTGTCAAGCGAAATTTCAGAATAGTAGAGGTAGAAACAGTAACAGTGGTAATAGGAAAGATTAAGCATCCAAAGTACGATTCGAGAAGAAAATATAAATTAATGAAATGATTGAAAAAATATGAGGAATGTTGATATATCTGAAGCGTTACGAATTCACTAGTAACGAACGGAACAAAGACACGTGACCAGAGACCGATAACTAGCTATACTGACGCGACCCAGACCCAGCTAACTAGAGTAAGAAGTCCAAGTTGGAGCGGGGAAGTTATATTCCGTAGCAGCCAGAAGCACAGTAATCAAATAAGGGAAAAAGTCAAGCGTATTTATACAGCAACGAAATGTCCTTGGGCATCGTTAATAATTAGCACACACAAAGAAACAATGGACCAATAGCGTTTAAGATAGTTACAAGTGGGAAATATGATGTGAAGGTAATAAGAGCACGTTTTGGCGCGAAAACAGCTAAATTCAAATTTCCAAAATAAAATTACAAAATTGAGCCACTTATCAAGTAAGTTCTGGGGATTTGACAACCCCAACACCTCCCCCTTTATTAACGCACACTCTTCGGGTCCACTTGCATTCTGACTGTCTTTCGCCGTTGGCGCAGTGACCATCTTCGGGACCGTAGGTCGACCTTTTGTGTTTCTTCATGCGTTGGGACTGCCGGCAGATTAAAGGTATCCAATAGTACGTCCAGCGGAATTTTTACTTCGGTCGATGGGCGCTCTGGCGTTAACCGCTTGCGTAGTTGATTTCGATGTCTGGTCCACCTGTCCGCTCCCACCTCAACCTCGTACATGACTTCTCCTACCCTTCTAACCACACGTGCTTCGATCCAAGGGTCACGACTTGCTCTGTAGTCTCTAGCAAATACTGGGCATCCAACGTTGTACGTGGGTAGCTTCCGGGACGTGGTTTGTACTAGTGGTTGTGTGGTTCTCGGCAGCATCAAGTTGTGGATGGTCCTCAACCGTCTTCCCATGAGGATCTCTGCGGGGGACTTCTGCTCTGGCAGCGTGTCGTTGGGGGTCGTTCTGTAGGCGAATAAAAAACTCTGCAGTGTTTCCACTGGTGTCCCCTCCCCTTTTGACTTAATAAGGGCCCTCTTGAACGTATCCACGAACCTTTCCGCTTGCCCATTCGATTGTGGATGATAAGGTGGGGCGCGAAGATGCCTGATGGTTAGGCGTTTGCAGAACTCTTGGAACTGCGCCGAGGTGAACTGCGAACCGTTGTCGGATACAATCACTTCCGGTAATCCGTTTCGTGCGAACAACTCAGTCAGATGTTTCAGAGTCTGGGTGGTCGTTGGTGGATTGACGGGAACAATCTCCGGCCATTTCGAGAAGGCGTCGACCACGACAAGGTAAGTGGTTCCGTTGATTGGACCGGCAAAGTCAACATGTATCCTAGACCAGGGATGCTCAGGCTGTGGCCATGGAACCGGCGGCACCTTTGCATTGAACTTTGCAGCTTATTGACACTGAGCACATTTGTTCACTAGATCCACGATATGCTGGTCCATGAGGGGCCAGTAAGCATAGCTTCTGGCGATGGATTTCATACGCTTTATGCCTGGATGACCAATGTGGAATTGCTTCAGCACTTTCGGTCGCAGGGATTCTGGCACGACCACTCTATCTCCAAACATCGAGCATTCACTTACAACACATAATGAGTCACGACGATGGTAAAGCTGCTTCATGTCACCGTCAAGTTTAGTTGATGGCCAGCCATGGGTGACGTAGTTCATCGTTTTCTTAATGATGGGGTCGTTTCCGGAAGCAGTTTGTATCTCAGATTCTGAGACTGGCAAAGCACGAACAGCCGTTATCAGGTAGCATTGTGCGTGGTCTTCTGTCGAAAGAGAAGCAATAACGGCATCTTCGTCGGTCGTAGAGTGTTCGCTGATGAGTCGTGACAATGCGTCTGCCTGACCAAAATGTTGCGTGCGTCGATACTGAATGTCAAAATCATAACCCAAGAGGATCAAGGCCCATCGTTGAAGACGGTTTGCAGAGTGGGCCGGGACGCCAGACTTCGAACCAAAAATTGCAAGGAGAGGCTTGTGATCCGTTAGAAGAGTAAATCTCCGACCATATAGAAACTTGTGAAAACGACGCACTGCGAATACTAGGGCAAGAGCCTCCTTCTCTATCTGGCCATACTTCTTTTCTGCTGGGGTTAATGTTCGGGATGCATGCATGATAGCTTTCTCTGTCGCGTCGGGGAACTGGTGTGAAATAACGGCACCGAGCCCAAAGGCTGAAGCGTCTGCGGCCACGATGATTGGCAAAGACGGGTCGTAGTGCGTTAATAGTAGTTCTGAACTAATAATTGTCTTTAGCTTACAAAAGGCATTTTCACACTCCTTTGTCCAGTTCCAGCTGATATCCTTATTCAGGAGATAATTCAGTGGGGCGCGTATGTCATGCATCGATGGAACGAAGGCTGAGTAATAACTAACCAATCCCAGGAATGATCGTAGAGTAGAGATATTGGTAGGTGTGGGCATAGTTCTTATAGCTCGAATGTTCTCGGGATCTGGTCTGCGACCTGCAGCATCAAAGATAAACCCCAAATACTTCACAGATTTCAAGAAAAGCTGGCACTTTTCCGGGCGTAACCGGAACCCGTTGGAGCACGGCTGTTGTGCGTTCCCGTAGCTGTTCCGACGTTGTGGCAACAATGAGGATGTCATCCAGATAAGTCGCGACCCCCGGGATACCTGATAGAATGGTATCCATTAGCTGCTGGAAAATAGATGGGGCGGTCTTGACTCCAAACGGCAGTCGATTATATTGGAACAGTCCACGATGAGTATTAATAGTGAGTAGCTCTCTTGATTCTTCAGCCACTTCTACTTGTAGGTAGGCATCAGCAAGATCCAACTTCTCAAAGTACTTTCCGCCATTCAGCATAGTGAACAAATCTGCCGGGACTGGCAGCGGATAATGATGCTGTTCTAGGGCTGCGTTGAGACCTGTGGAAAAATCTGCACATATTCGGATTGTACCATTAGCCTTCTTGATAACAACAATGGGTGCTGCCCATGCGGAATAAGAGACAGGAGTAATAACTCCTTCACGTTGAAGGCGATTAAGTTCTTCCTCAACTTTCTGTAATGCAGCATGTCGTACTGGTCTCTTCGGACGAAAAACAGGTTTGACCCCAGGTTTCAATCGAAGCGTTGCTTTCATGGCTGAGCACCGACCCAAAACAGGCTGGAAGACGGTCGAAAACTTCGTAACTAGTTCATTTGAATAGGCTTCCGGGTCATGGGGATGCTTTACTAGTTTATACACAGTGTTTAACGGGACGTCTGCTAAATGCAGTTGGTCAAACCAATCTAATCCAAGTAAATTAAGATCAACCGGTGCAATGTAACATACCCCAGTGAACGTCGAATCGCGGAAAGACACTTCACAATGTAGTTGACCTAACAAACGTAAGTAACTACCGCATGCTGTACGAGGTTTTTGTGTTGTTGACACCATACGTGGTCTGCCCATTTTAATCCAAGATTTTCGTGAAAGAATTGTCACGTCAGATGCTGTGTCTATTTGTAATCTAAATGGGTGCCCGTTAATATTAATGGTAATAAATTTTCTCTCACCTGGAGTTGAGTTCTGACAGGATGCTACAAGACTCAACGAATTTGTACACGGCTTGGGAGCAGACTTTTTAGTACTTTTGGGGCGATTCGACTTTTTATTTTCGCAAAACCCATCTTTGTGGCCCACAGCTTTACACTTCCTGCAACGATGTTGTTTGTACGGGCAGCTTCGAACATAATGCCATGCACCACAGTGCCAGCATGGAGCAGGAGGATTCGTCTTTGCTTGTTGAACTGAGTTAGAGTGAGACGAACTAGATATAGCTGGAGCGGGTTTAACGGGTTTCGTTTGTTGTTGAACTACATGTACTTCCGGGCGATCAGAAACACCACGTTGAACCATGGTAGTGTCATGCTGCAGATTAATTAGACGTTGATATTCGTTAGCAATATCATTAAGAGTCAGCTTAGGGTCTTGATCCAATCGACTGAGCAACCGTGTTCTAATATCACTGAACTTTTGCGATTGGAGGCTGCAGATGAGAATGAGGGCTTTAAACTGATTTTCAGTTAGCGACTTCAACCGAAGGCGTTCGCATTCGCGGTTGACAATGCCCACATGCGTCAGAAAATCGATGTCTTCGTTCATAGTCAGCTTCAAACATCGATAGCGTGTGTTGAACAGTGAGGAATTATCTCCAAACTGTTGGCTCAATGACTGAACAGTGTCTGAGAATGAGCGATCGCGTGGGTTTAGAGGCAAAATCAGGTTACAATATTTATCAAGTTCACTAGGACCCAGCTTTCGAAGCAGCAAACGGACTTTCCAAGCATCATCTTGATTGGCAAAATCAAATCTGAATAAATCTTCATAACGGCGGAACCACATATCAAACGTAACATTAGATTCAGGATCGTAATGAAACTCAGAAATACTACTGGCAATACCATCAACTGAAGGAGCAGTAGTCGTAGGATTGGAGCTGCTTGATTGGCTATTGGTCGTAATTTTTGTTTCTGTTAGCATCTTGATAAGTTTCATCTGCTGTTCGAGCAATAATTCCACTTTTGCAGGATCCATATTTCCAAATCACCGTCGCCAATTGATATATCTGAAGCGTTACGAATTCACTAGTAACGAACGGAACAGACACGTGACCAGAGACCGATAACTAGCTATACTGACGCGACCCAGACCCAGCTAACTAGAGTAAGAAGTCCAAGTTGGAGCGGGGAAGTTATATTCCGTAGCAGCCAGAAGCACAGTAATCAAATAAGGGAAAAAGTCAAGCGTATTTATACAGCAACGAAATGTCCTTGGGCATCGTTAATAATTAGCACACACAAAGAAACAATGGACCAATAGCGTTTAAGATAGTTACAAGTGGGAAATATGATGTGAAGGTAATAAGAGCACGTTTTGGCGCGAAAACAGCTAAATTCAAATTTCCAAAATAAAATTACAAAATTGAGCCACTTATCAAGTAAGTTCTGGGGATTTGACATCCGCAACAAATGTAGAAACTTAGAATTTAAGGGATAACAATGAGTGAATAGAGCTGCCCCATCGCATGTTTCCTTCTACAGTCTGAGAATAGTAAGTAACATTCTGTACCGCTAATATTAATAAATGTGAATCAGTAAACGCACTTATATTTAGACAATGATCAGAAATGTATGTATGGATTCATTTAGATGAATTGTAGTAATATTAACTTTGTGTTCAGAATACCAAGAAGACCACAATGTAGTACGATGATGAATTGAATTAGAAATTTCATACTATTTGATCCCTTTATTAATTAAGTGATTAACACAAATGTTTTTGAATATAACGATACAATGTACTTATTGTTGATCGCTGCATACTCAACAGTTTATAAAACTTTTTTCCTTCAATGCCATGCAAACTTTCTGTTGTGAAGTTACATTTAGTTATTTCCAGGTTTATATTTATTTTTCATGGGTGTCATCTCTTTGGAGCTATATCTAAATAATCTCTGTCAATCATCATCGTTTGTCGCGTCAAACCTCATCCTAAATGTTGGAATTGAGATTTTTTCTGTGGCAAATTATTCATAAGAAAGTCAAGAAATAGTCATTTAAAATTTCGTTAAATAAGCTATTGTCTCAGTATATATGCAAGCTCCGGAGCAACTTTAATTTAGTCCATAAAAGCGATGACTTGATATTTAAGCGTTTCCAACTAACAGGGTGTAAGTTGCAAACTTATTCACCTATTTTTTTTCAGCAGCATCACATAAGTAACATTATTTCGACTCCTGTAATTCGTCTCGTGCTTATTTGATATTGAAACTAAGGTAATGCACACGTTGATTATGATTGGCAAAAGTAGTGAGGCTAAAACTCAATTACATGTCTTTACTTCTTAGATGAGTTACACATTTGTTCAAATGTAATTAAGATACATTCAGGTATAAATTTTCTGTTTTTTGAAAATGCGAATCACCACGTATTTATTGTGAACATTAGTAGCCGCCAAAATCTTGCACATGCCTGTGTTTGGATACTGAAATACTATTTTTTTTCCAAAAGCTTTTCCTTTGGATCCTTCAGAAACTCCGAAAGGACATTCTTATTATCTTGTGAGTTATTACTGTTTATCTTTTTTTTGTTAATTAATTATTTTCCAATCTTTTAAGCCATACGTTAAAATGTCATTGGTTCTGTAGATAACCTAGTTTTTCTTGAAGTGTGATTAAAAAAATGGAGATGTACTTGGGTAGTAACATATCAACATTCGAGCACATTAGGAGATTGATGGTGTAAGAAGGTAAATAAATTGCGAGCAAACTGTCTAAAACCATACAAAGCTACATAATTCTACATTTAACACACCTCAAAACAGCACATACCAAAAGTGAAACATCGTAAGCATTCAACTATCCGTCAGATAAGCGAATCAAATTGAGCAATCTAATTATTAGAAATTAATTGAATCAAACAGTATTATTTTCCCTTCCCTGAAGAGAAGCCTTGGTGAACTTTTCCGCTGAATTGATTGTTCGATCTTTCGTTGTCTCTTAGATATCATTATCAATATGGGTTGGGGAGGATGTTGCACTTCATTGAAATTGCGACAACTAAAGATGTCGCGCATCATCGTAAAAATGGTTGAAGTTAGAATTGTATATCATAGATTGCTGGCTCAGCAGTCTGAAGGTTGGACGTTTGTGCGCGAGGCCAAAGGTCCTGTTTTCAATTCCCGGTTGCGGGCGCTCATTACTGTCGAGTCCCGTACCTAGGACGAAAGTCGTCCAGTGTTCCTCTAACTTAAGTCGGTTTGTGATTTCAATGAAATAACCTTTATGTTTGCAAACTGCAACCAAATACTAGTGTTTGTTTATCTGTCCTTCGATACGCTTTTCACCTTATTGAATTAATTGGAGTTTGATTATGTAGTTAAAATGTTCTTATTCATATTTGTTAGCAGAGAAAGCAAACCCAAACTATGTTTTAAGAGTATTTCTAGTTTAATCAACAGACTTGATATGGTAGTCTCAGTTTATCAATAGTTCCACTTAATGAGTATTTTTCATCTCAAGTTCAATATGAGTGAAGAGAAATGATTTGTATCCATGTAGATCAAAACAGTCTTCATTTCTGCCTATATGGACATTACTTAAATAAAAAATAAGTGGTCAGCCATCCTCATGCTTTTTTTAAACTCAAAATCCTTTTCAGGATAGGAAGATATACCAAGACAACTACTTTACTGGGGGATTAGAAACACCTGTTAAATATCATTAAATTATGATTACCTCAACATTTTTGGATCCAGCGACATATATAATTACAAACATGTTGTACCCTGATATTTTTCACTATTCTTACAATCAGGTTCCTAGAGGAATCTAGATTGTTCACAGTGAATTGAAACGAAGACATCTCAAAATAGCCTCCTCTGTAGCGTAGCTGTGAGCTGTAGTGCATGTTTTCCCTACCTATCATTTTTGTGCGATCCCTTGTTTCCAATAAAGATAGTAGTCTGGTAAAAGTAATGTGATGAAATTAAACTTGAAATTGACAAATAACCTGACCGTTATTTCTTTAATGAAGCATGATGATCGAACAGAAGATGGGTATGGTCCAAGGCGCCGATGGAATAATAAATCTGATCGTTTGTACTCTTCTAGTAAGTATCAACTTTAGACAGTTGCCCAATAAATGCTGTTTTTACATGTATATATTTTCAATGGATATTCAATAAGGCAGTTTAATCAGAATTACAATTGTATTTCACTTAAATTACATTAGATAATAACAATGCATCAAAAGACGGATAAACTAATAAATTAAACTAATGCATGCCTACCACTGAACCATTAGCCTTAATAATATCCAGATGATAAGAATTAGTAAAAACTAGAGCTAGCGAAAATCAATGAAACTGCTTAAAAAGTAATTATCGGATTTCTAGCATACACTTTTCTTTGATGCATCTAAACACTTAGCCGTTGCTACAGGTTAAAAGTACGGAAGTATAACCTACTTTACTGATAATGTCTACCACATATAGTGTTGTGATGAATGAATGATGTTACTCCTGACTTTAACGAATAATTCCTTTTAAATCGACTACTTTTCACAAACTTATGGCAGTAAATTTGGTAGTACTATCTAAATTTACATTTCTAAACTTTGATTATGCCTACCAGTATGATAGATCGATTTGTACGCCGGTGCTAAAGTTTAGTGTTGTTTGGAATACTTTGCTTTGCAATATGAAAATGAACATTAGTTACAATTTCCACTGTTTTTGCATTTATGACACCTTATAAACATTTTATTTCAGGCTACCGACGTGACCGTCGATCTCGCCGCACTTCTCCTTCACCACGGTCATCTCGTTCCGAAATTAAACCGAAAAAGTGGCTTCACGATAAATTCGAAGAGATGGAAGGGGACAGTAGTTCACAAAAACCGATCCCAATGCCTGTTCCTGCTCCCAAACCTATGTTATGGTCTACTATTGGAAAAGAAATATTGAATGGAAATAAAACTGCTGTAAGTGATGACCAAAATTACAGTCCAAATAGTGCAGCCAACCAATCACCGCTAATAGACAATGAAAATATCACAAATAAATTAGAGACAAAAGTACAATCAGTTGTGTCTAATTCAACGGTCCGTAGTAATGAAAACGTATGTACCAAAGAAGAGCATTTGAACAGTGAAATTTTCCATCTAGATGTTGATCATGTATTTGACGAAGCTATTGAACGATGATTTTTGTCTGATTTGTACAGTCAGCATTACAAATTACGCATTTTGTTTTGACAATAACCACTTTTTGTCTCTGTTATATTGCTTGTATATTCAATTTGTTTATATAAGCAACTTACGTTTGCATTCTGGATTTCGTTATTTTTTGATACATATATATATATATATATATATAGAGAGAGAGAGAGAGTTTTCAGAAACTGGGTTAACTGGGTTTCTCGTTCAATGTAGAAATTGTCAAAATAGTTAAATTTTATTGCACACCTCAAATATAGTATAAAACTGCACGTCACCTTAGTAACAAAGCATTTTCATTTCACATTTAAGTCTTCTGAATCAATGAACGCTTATCTGAAAAAGTTAACGACGATTAAGTATACATAGATTACGTGGCCTTTATGTTTCAATCAGGGTAATGTGTTCATAGATAAGAAATTATGTACAAAGAATCATATCTAGTGCGTAATATATTCGCAAAATATCTTTACTCAATTACGAAAATGTTAAGCATAAAAGGACAATATACAGTAAAAAAATTATATATCGCGCCATAATCTACAGAGTAGTTTTAAATTATTTACATTATTCGTTTCCAAAGCCTCAAGTTCTTGTCTTAAAGTTTCAGCTTGTCGAATTATGGATATTTCAAAATTCACATCGAAGGATACATGCTACAAAATAATGAAAAAAAGAACATTTGAGTAAAAGATTACTAAAAATATAGTCAGGATTTTACTAACAAATACGGCATACGAAATTCTCTAGCTTTGTACCATATGCTTGATCGAAACTGTTCAATGTTGGTCTATATACATAAATTTACTACATACAGCGATATTTCAGATCGAATATTTACAATTATTGGTAGTTTGATATCGGTATAGCGAAGTCAAAAATGATACTAGGAGAACATAAATAACTAACCTGGCGTTTTATGCGTAAATAGGACAAGAGGAAATAATGGACAATTTCGCCATGATTACTATTTTGACATATTGTTAGCTTGCAAGTTTGTGTCAACAATTTTTTCAAATAGAAGAAACTATCCATGTAGTGGATACACTGTCCGTGTAGTTTGCCTAGTTGGACAGTCTTAATTTTGGAGGTCTAGACAGTGACGCGGCTTTATATAATTTACTAAAGACAAGTAACTTGCATTATTTGCCAGGTAAAACAAGATAAAATTAATAATTACTAGAAATCTGAAAGCTTAAATATAACTGGATCACGTAATTTGGTTTTTCTCTATTGTTATATACAATTTCATTGATATACATTTTATCACTTGAAAAAAATTGTTCATAAAGTCAAATAATCTACCTAATAAGTGAGTCCGAGCTAGTACAAATCAATCAGAACTGAAACAAATAACATCAAATTTTACCCAATGAGAGTACTATAATATTTCTTACAATGAGCCGAAATTCCAAAACAGTCAATCAGTTCAGTAAAGGAACGAAAAAGTTACAGTTTGTGAAAGAAAAAAAAATTTTTTTTCTTACCTATACGAATTCTCGTAAAGCGGTAAGTACAATTCGGGTGTATGTCTTCCACTAGTATACTGACTATTAATAATATGATCAGATTGTTTTCCAGTATACGGGACTTTTATAAAATGTTGTGAAAAAGCTTGTATGCATAAACTTCGCTGTTCGCGGTATATATTTAATTCAGTTAAATTTAAGATTCCATCCGTTGACAATAGTTTTTGTTCTATATAACTTGTACTAAATACTTTAGTTGGTGGTAAACTAGTTACATGACTTATAAGACAATTAAAAAGGATATCTTCACAATTATTAAATACATTGACAATCTCATGAAGTTTACGATCCAACAATGTTTGATACAGATGATGATAATAACTATAAAAACGTAAACATAAGGAAATATGATTTACAAGATTTTTTACATTAGATACCTAAGAATCATGGGATAGTTTGACCAATATGTGTACAAAACATAACACTGATAAGATTTAGTTTTTTCTTCACATCTATTTGACAGATGCAATAATCAATACAGCTTTATAATTGATGAACCGATTTGATTGTGTGTAGATCAACCAATTGATTACATGGGTACAAAATAACAGTCAGATATGACCTATGTTTGCGTGAAATCAAGATGACAAGTGATGAGGCTAAGCGCAAAAATTGCATACTCTAAACAGTATTAAAACGTATAAAGTTTTATTGATGAAACCATCCTGAGAAATAAATAATATATTTGTAATATCCCAATGAGAAGAAAATTAGATTTTCTGACGTTTTGTAACTCAGTGCAAGCTACTTCCTCAGAGAATAAATAACCAGATTAACAATAATCCAAGTTTAAATAGTACAACGGAACAACACGAATATTAAGTGACCAATCAAAAAACGGTCCTGAATAAATCAATGTCGTCATTTCGGTAAAGGTGATTCATAAGCGATATGTATGAAAATTTGTGTGTATGTATATGTGCACTGTAAAGATGAAAATTGTGTGACGTTTTTAGTGAGAAAGGATAAAGTTCAATTTGCAAGGTAATAGTGTGAATTGTAAATAATATCAGTCTAGGTGGCTAGGATAGATAGTCCAAGTAGGATGTATGGTAAGGCTTTCTTTTCTATTGAGAGAAGTAGGATTAAGCATTATATAGAAAGCTTCAGCTACTCTCTTTTCTTTGTAATATTTTGATATTTTTGAAATCCATTTGATGATTGTTGAAAATAGCGTGAACTGCCATTGCCAATTTATTTTGAAGTCTATCCAGTTCTACAGGATTATTAGGAGGTTTCTTTTGTACCTAATATGTTCGCGAGATGACTCTCCAATATGGAAGGCATCAAAATCGACACAACATAATTTGTAGACGCAGTTCTGTGTAGACATGAATGGGATTTTTTCTTTTAATCGAACTAAGTATTTCGAAGTGTGTTCGTTGTTTTGTAATATACTTTAATTCTCTATTGTTTCTTCTGTTGTGCCATGAAGGTATGGTAAAACTGCAGTACCAATCTATGGCAATTCATTCGAATTATTATTATTATTATTACGCACTGAGACGTCTTGTTTTAATATACTTCTAATAATCTTCATGGGAAAATTATTAAATTGTAAGATATTAATTACATTCTTTTGTTCTTTTAGTTTGTCCTCTTCTGATGTTATGATCTTGATGGTTCTTCCAAAAAGATTTAAGGCTAACTAGATCTTGGCACTGAAAGGATGTGCTGAATGGAAGCCACACATACGAATTTACATACATATAGCTTATGATTTACCTCGACCGAAATGATATGACATTGATTTATTCAGACCTGTTTTTTGATTGGTCACTTAATATTCTTATTGTTCCGTTGTACTATTTGAACTTGGATTAATTTTAATTTGGTTATTTATTCTCTGAGGAAGTGACTTACACTGAGTCACGAAACGTCAGAAAATCTAGTTTTTCTACTCATTAGGATACTACAAATATATTAATTTATTTATAACAATCTACCCAATGCTCAATTTATTCGAAATTATCGAATCAAAACTTGGTAATGATACCTACATCCTAAGAAATACTTTCGTCATTCAGAACGTTTGCACACAGAACAACGCAACCTGAACATCTGCATTGTAAGCTGCAAATACTAACGTGTCTGACAGGTTTTAATATTTTGTTTCATTTCCAACTGTATTTAGTTTTTAATATGAGAAATAAAAAAAGGTGTAACACAAACTAACCGATGATAAAATGCCCCATTTAGTAAAACTATCGAAAAATGCTTCATCGATGGATTATCATCATATTTCCATAGGTTATCTGTAGTATTCCAATAATGTGAACGAGCTTGGAATCCAACTAAACGATTTGGAAATTCTTGCCAAGTTAGATATGCAAAATTTAACTAAAAAAAATAGTGTAGAGAGAGTATTAATTCGTAACTAAATCGACTTTTAGTCCAACGTATAAAAAACGAAAAGAAAGGGGAGATTCTTTAAAGAGAGAAACATCAAACGACTGGGCATTAAGTAATAGTAACGATAATAAGAAAGATGAGACACAGAGGACATAATTCAGAAAGGAATAAAATAGGGGAATAAAAAGTATGGAATAATACTGGAACTCTGCATTTAGGTAGAGATCAAAGATGAATGGATCTGTTTCATTACAAGCGATTTTAAGACATGTCATTCAGCGTTTTTAACCGTTGGCCGCAATTATCAAGCGGACCTGGACCAGAACGTTTACGTCTACCAACACGAACCGGTACAGCAGTTAACGTTTTTACAATCTAATAGCATGTCTTGGTTTGGTCGCCTCTAACTTTCTTCTGTCCTACGCCTGGGACATTCAGGACAGCATGTCAAGGTAGACAATGGCTGATCAACCACAATACATATCTGAACCATAAATTTAGACAAAGGATTAATGTGCACACCAGCTACCAGTTCCTTAATTTACTTATCAATGCACGGCCGGTATACATAGCCTCTAGTGACAGATTTCATTCTCCCAGGTCCTAGGTGTGTTGAGTGAAGCTTTCGTAGGATGGTTGAACGTGGATCACTAGGAGCCCCTACGGGATCGGCGAACGTAATGGTCATTTGCAATGGACAGGGAATAGCGTCGTTGATGACACTGCTATAATTCATGGGATTTAACACGTGAGGGTCAGTAATATCGAATGAATTTATATAGTTACTGTAAAATAATACCACGACGTGTAGTCAACAGCTTGAAGAAGTGTCACTGGAATTTGTACTGCATTCACCAATATCTTGTTCACATCTTTTACTTATATAGAAGCAGCAACAGCACCTTCATCTTTAGGTTTATGATTGCCCATTAAACGTGGTAATGTCATGACCAAATTCAGAGATAAATTTGTACTTGATGGCAAAATCATAACACAGCAATATTGTAGCTTTTGGTTCTGTAGATGGCCAAGAGAAAACGAACACATATAGTTCCATAACTTGGACTGAGGTTGGACGCAAATATAGCCAGACTGAAAAAAACGATGACTCATTGTCACAAAAAGTGTGTTTAAGTTTCCAAATCTCTACGAGAAGTGGAACCACATTCCTGATCATCTCTAGCTGAACCCTAGTAGCATGTACACGTCGATTTCGCTGGTCCATTCCATAGTAGTTATATCTTCGTATATGTTAACGCATATTCTAAATGACCAAAGATAATTTCCATGAACTACATCATCCCCATTCTACAATTGAGAAAATTAGGAAGCTGGTATGTCGTTTTGGAGTCCCGGATATCCTGGTAACAAACAATAATGTACAATTTACTTCTACCACCTTAGATTTTTCTACTAGATTCAAAGTTAAACATATTCGTCAGTTCCCATGCTTAAAGGATTGTGTATACATCCAAGACAACATAAAACACAGGCTTACTATATACACACTCTGGTAGGTGACTCACCCTCAGTCTTTTTGGTGGAGTGTTATGACAAGAAGAATTAACGACAGTAAAAGTTGTGTAACCCATTTTTTGAGACACTACTAACTTTACTTTTCGATGTGTAGTCATTAATAGTTATTGCATGTGATTCCTATATTCTCCTAATAACAAGTTAATATACTTTAATCATGAAGTCTGGTAATTCAATTTTTACATCAAACATCCAATTTTTGACATACATTGTATTTTTGAAATTATTATTTGTTGTAGTTTAACCGTTTGTGTACTCAATCATATACCGTTTTGAATTAGTTGAATCTTGAGAAATAGAAGTTTGTCCTACTATCTTCTCATTTCTACCACATTAGTTAATGGGAAAGGAAGTCTGTGGCAACCAATTAGCGTTAGACTAGCAAATTAATTAGTAAAGCTATTTGAATGATCTATCCGCAAGGTATAAATCAGTAATAATTGAACCCAAGCTAGCCGTCGCATGGTTATGTCAAGTGGCCCAGTGTATTAAGGAAATAGATGAGTTATGAGTCAATTTTCTGGCATATTTGACATCAGAACCAGCGGCCATCTAAGTTAAGTTCATCATACTTCTATTTATAATAAGAGCTTACCGAAAGAGAAACATTCTTAACAATATAATTGGGTTGCACGAAAATCATAATTCAAAAAGTATGTGTAAGAAAATGCTTTCATCTCGCGTGTTATTTTGTCTAAAAAAGCAATGAGATAAACGAACTTCTCCAACAAAAGAAAACTGTTACGACAAAGACAAACTGAATGACTATATTTAACATATGAATTAAAGCTAATTGAATATTATATTTATTGATATGATTTACTAATTTACCGAGTGATCAATCTCATGCATTTGCATTTAAGTTAGTACAATTATTCTGCCGTCCCTTCATCTAAAGTAGTATGATGAAGTTTAGTTTCAGAAATTAAAATTTAAAAACAAAATGATGCTTCGAATTACCTGTTCAACTGTAATATTCAGGTTTAATGAATATGCAAATACAGCCAAGGTAGGAATTTCGTGAAAAGGTTGAAAACGAACGCTTGGAGATATAGAATTAGAAGAATATTTGAGTGTAAAGCGTTCGTCAGGGAGAACAATTTCAACCGGGACTGGAGCATAAGACTTTACTTCATTATTATTTGGTGGAAAATTCTTGCATTCCCAAACCAGAATTATCTAAAGAGAGAACAGAATAAGGAAAAACGTCCGTACACAGATAATTAGTTATCAGTTTCACATGTATACACAATCGAATATAGTCAAACTACAACTCAATGAACTACTCAACTAAATGGATGCTGAGTTGAAATTCAATTCTACTTATCACATAATATAATTATGAATAGTTCCACTATAAGTTGAAAACGATACTTATTGGATATATTATACGAGCAAGCCAACTACTTGTTTTTGCTATCTCATATATACTTTTCTTGGTAATATCGCTAATCAACTGTTTTAGTTAAACACATATTTGTTTACTATCATCTACTGTGCGTACCAGTTGAAATCTAGAAATACTGAATAATATATCTTATTGATTTTTCATACTGCAACTACTTTACAATGTCAAGCAGATCACAGATAGTAGGACATTTTATTTATATGACATCTTGTCTATTGAATATGCCATCATTTTTCAGTTTGTGGTCTAAATGATCAGTCAGATTGTATTTTAATATTAACTGAATTCTTGTCATTGTAAATAACCAAGTTACCAATAGGAGTAAACTTTCGGTTTTCCACATTTGTTTCTCAAATCCTTGTCAGTCAATAATATGTAAAATAATAAAACAATCCAACTTTAAAATTATCCAGGTAGAGCCACACAGAGATGAGCATCAATCATTTTAGATAATCTGTCCTATTTACAGTGGTCACCCAAAGTCGGTCAGTCTTAAACAACAGAAGTAGTAATACGAATTTTCAAAACAAAAACTTGTAGTTCTGAACTTAAACTAAATGGATTCAACTTTTTTTCATCACTATCGAAAAGTCAAGATATACATTTTGTCGAAATCCAAACAGCCTATAAAATATTCGGTTAAATTCCATTGTCTATTAATTAACATATTTGTGTGGAAAAAATGTTATTTCCATGAAAGGGTAGTTGAATACATACCTAAGTGAAGATAAAAATATATGGATTTAAATGGTCAAATGAGAGCATAGCGATAGACTAACATATTTCTGCATTGTGAAACATTTGGTCAAGACGGGTCATAGGAGTGATGTCAAATCAACCTTTGAAGTGACTAAGGACATATACTTAAGTCTACTGAATCCTTGTCAATACATAAATATACCTTGAACCTATCTTGGTAACACTGATTTATTACTCAAAGTCGTATTTCACATTGTTTTCTGTATTATCCTTGTTTCCTCTTACCTTCCAATAGATGTCTTATTAAGTAGAAATGTGATCAGATTTTCCAAGGTGTATTGCGCTAATATATCACATAGTTCTGATAATCTTGGTGACCTAATATCCGATGAATAAATAAAACCATGCCTATTACAAAATGACTGAGACTGACAAATTGACAGAGCAGTTGATAAAAGAAGAACATTATTTTAAATCATATAGTCCAGTTTGTGTGATGAATTGTAAGTGATATTTATTTAATGATATACTGTTTTTTTAGGATGAGATAAGTGGAACAGGTTTTAAAAGGTAATCAGTAGTCGGAAGATTGACTTATGGATTATTTTATTATGTGTTTGGGAAGAAAAACACTCCACACTCTCTCTTGTACACATACGTACGAATGTGAAAACTCGCTATGGTAGTATTTTTTAATTTGAAGAATAAACTTTCTTTACCTTTCGTAAAAACTCTGAATGGAACAGAATTCCACCGAGAGATTTTAAACGTTCCAAATAAATAGAACAAAGTTCTGCACGTATTGGAATTAACATTGTGAAACCTGACTTGATCTCGACTATTTAAATGAAAAATTGAAGTGTCTTAACGTGAGAAAAAAATCTACATATTAATAGGACAAAAATAAAGACATGATAATAGTTTATCAACATCTATAGTAAAAATAAGACAGTCATGTTTTAGTGACCCACTGATTATTAGTTTACAGTTACATGCACAAAGATCGCACTTTGATTTCTGTAGCCAAGTAACATTTTAGGTGTTGTCTATAGTTTTCTCATCTGGACCTGTACTTGGGCTTTAAGGTTGAATTACATTTTTCCTTATATCTTCCGAACATTTATTAAACAAAGTGGTTTTTAATGCGAGTTAAAATTTCTTATTACTAGTGCCAGATACAAAGGCTTCGGATAATTCATATTCTTATGTCACATTGAAGAGTACTTTTGTACACGATTTGGTTAAGTTTTGAAAGAAACGAACTTACAGTGAATCTAGTTGAGCATATTAAGTAGTATCCAGTATTATATTTGTTTAGAACTTAAAGGTGACTGAATTTACTCATGTCAGCTGTTATTCATTACTAAAGCGTATTTAAATTATATGTGGAACTGATTTGCCTTATGTGATTCGAATCATAGTCATCCGACTACTTAATTAATTACGCTATCACTCAGCGATTCTGGCTGCAACTGACCTCCTGTAAGACAGACAACATCATGCTCGTTGATGACTGACCAGTGAACAGAGCTAAGCTTGTCAATTCCTTAGGGCAGGTCGCTACAACATAACAAAGTGAGTTTATGGGTTATGTAAAGTCCTAACGAATGAAATATAACATTTGCTTTTTTAAAATTCCGGTACACACAATTAGCAATGTTTCCATTAATTGTTCCCTGTGAAAAGATGGCTCAAGAGTGGTACGCTTTCAGTATCTTCCTAAGAAAAACCTACACTGGCAATGCATCGGATATCGTTGAATTGCTACGTCACAACTGTCCATAGAATTTACATGCGAAACTATGAGACCACCGGGTAATGTATTCCAAATCTCGTAGCTCCGACGACGAAGTGAAACCCTATCTCGTATAATCTGAAAGCAGAATAATAACCAAACAAAAGACAGTGTAAACATACAGTTTTCTTAAGTATCACGTGAAATGAAAGTTTCTCAGTCACTCAGTTACAACGTAGAACCAGGCACATATACACATAAATCCAAGTTACCACACTCATTAGCGCAACAAGACGAACATCAAATTCAAAGAAGCAGTTGCTTCAATGGTAGTAAAAAGAAGATCCATATAAGAATATGATACAAGGAAAAAGAATTAATTTGTAGAAAGAAAGATATAATGTAATTTTAATCTCACGAGTTAAGGAAAGACAAAGAGTGTATACACCCACGCTATTGTGATCGATTCTGAGCCATGTCGCACAGAGTCTCCAACCATTTGGTACGATAATCGGTGTTTAGGCATACGTAACGCGTGGCCCAACCATCTCAGTCGATGAAGATTCATGATCTCGTCAAACGAGGTTAGACACATAGACAAATGCTCTAGGAGTGTTCTCTCACAAAACGCTATCTGTTTTGATTTCAGCGCCTTAGCCCTCACAAAAGCACAAACCATGAAAGGCAAATAATCCTGCTGGACTTATTTCCTATCGGTGAATGTAACGTTCTTAGTACAAGCAAAACAATGCTATTTGTTAACCATAAAAAGAATCAAACCCCTTTAATTTATTTCATAGAATCAATAGAAATGAGTAGACCATTGACAAAATCCCTTATTTGAAGACTTTTTTACCCTTAAAAAATTTGGTACAACTGGGTAACAGGGAAAATATGCGCCAACAAAATAAATAATATTGTGAAGAAATAAAAGAGAGAAAGGGAGTACAATCAAAGAAAAATAAGTGAAAGAGAATGGCTTGTAATAGGAGATACGCTTCATTTAAAAGTACCAGCAAAAGAGGGTTTTCTTTCAGTTGACGAGCCCAGTCCTACTTTTATAAAGAATCCAAAAAGACTACTGCAGGATAATCATCGGCTCCCATTCTGAGTCATGCTTGATAACATCTCAAGCCACTAAGTTGTGTCATGTTTAAGATCCCAATCAGAAAGTCGTGCTAGACCAACAGATCCCATTTCTATACAGCTTTCTTTCTTACCATCCCCCAATTGATGGTCGCAAGAGTCCGTTTTCTCTCCCAAAATGCTCTTACACGGTTATGGGTTTTTAGTTTCTGCTACAAAAGTTCCACTCACTGCCTCCACAACGTGCAGGGACTGCAAGAGGCCGAAAAGCAAGCGCCCGATGGTTAGACTGGGCTGGTAAATATGAATGATCAGACTACGGGAGTTGTAAAACCCCCACTGCAAACCAGTGATGTAAATGGGCTGTGATTCTGGGGGCTGGGGGTCTCCTGACATTGCTGTTGCCTGGTGGTTTAGACCCCAGGATTAAAGGCTCGGGAAGTGATCTCATAAGAAAACCATTTACTTCAGTTCGAGAGGCCGGGAGTTCTCGAGAACACACATAAATATTATTGTTATTAATGGAGATGTTCTCGCTTCCCTAGCTATCCATACAAACAATATAATGTAAAGAAATAATTACAAGCAAATTTCTTTTACGCTACTTTATCTTTACATTCTTTTTTTGTTTGGATTTAAACCTGAAACTACTCATAGCATATTTGAAATGTATCTCCGTAACTAACAGTGACTGGACAAACTATATCCTACAAATTCAAAAGGAAATAATTACCTCAAGTGTTGTAAGAACAATCGATTCGATTGAAGATAAATACGTATGCCAAAGAAACATTACTTGTTGTCGATATTGAATTATCTGATGCGAAGTAATACGTCGTAGGCTCAACGGAAGTAATAAAGGTAATCGTTCGTCAGCCCAAATAACTGCTCGATTCCAATCAACCACTTCAGAAAATGGAAGTTCCAAATCATTGCTCAACATAACTGGGATACAACCAGCCTGTAGTACTTCTAAAAATCTTAATTAAGTAATACAAATACAAAAATAAGAAATGGAATGAATAAGAGTATTTGCTTTGAACAAGTAAAATTCTCATTTTACTGGAATAGTATGGCAGGAAGTACGAGAATAAAAGGACTCAAGAATTTATTTGTTTTTGGGGTCATAGGTAACACAGTACCTTCAAAGAAACCCAGTAATTTCTAATTTCAAGGTATTTTTTCGTGAAAATAGTTCACATCACAGAATAATTCTAGCAAAACGACTACCAAGAGCTCAGGAACGTCGGATGGCTTTTTTTCTAGTTTGGAGCACTTTAGTTGTTTGCATCGACAAACACACCAAGAATTGATTCCATAATATTCAGATATTGGGGTAACCGTATTACCTTTAAATCACTTAATCAGAATACAATGATCCACATAACCGAATTCACACAGTTCGTGATATTTCACGATAACTACCCAATAGTATTAGCGCAATAACTTACGCTTTCAACCTAGTTAGTTGCGCAACATAATAGATCTGTTGAAATTAGACATTAACACCGTTGGGTGACGGCTAAGTGGTTTAGAGGTTAGGCGTTCGCGCGTGAGACTGAAGGTCCTGTGTTTGAGTCCAGCGTGTGGGATAGTGGATGAGAACTGCTGAGGAGTCCCCTACTAGGATGAAACGGCCGTTCAGTGCTTATAGATTTTCAATGGTGGTCTAGCTTAGATTGACTCGTGAATTCAACTGTTAAAAAACACTATTTAAACTTGTTTATTTTAACACTATTAAAATAATTGACTAAATCAGTGTACCAGAAGTGGGAAATAAAATTACAACACAGTGGATGAGAGACTATTACATTAATTACTCAGCTATAGCAACAAGTGGATATATAGTATGAGAATTGTGTAACCTAATTATATCCACTATGAGTAACCAGCAATCCATTTCGCGATTTCATTGCTCGGAAATCCGTGATTAATCAAGATTGAACTCCCATTTTCTTGGTTGTCGTAGTTATTATTTATTTGGTCACAATAAATGGATGATTTCTTTTCTTGTCTATATTTAATATTGGCTTTTAATTACTGGTTTGATAACGCTGAACGTAAGTTTTTAAGTAAACTGATTTTTATTTAATATAGAATCATTTGTGCATATTTATACATTCCGGGTGATATAACTAATTTATCAAGTACAGATTAGTGTATTTGACTTCGAGCCACGCTGTTTGTGTAATGACCAGTGATACCAAGAAGCTGTCCAGCCATACGACACAAGCGGGGTGGGGTTGGAATTTGTAACCTAATTGTTGGAAGTTGGTCGGTTCAATCAATAAACCAGTGCTCCACATTCATAGTAGTCATATCAGTCTTCTAATTTTATTCAACATCGGTACACATGTTATAGAGGTTCTGATAAATAAAAAAAACTGAGATTTTAATTTAAGTTTCAGTGAACAGCTCTCGATAACAGTACAAATGGAGACTGAAAATATCAATCATAAAAAAAACATTTGACGATATTACAGATCCAATGCAACTACAATTTTTTACCGATATGAGCCTAATCGTCGACCACGAGGAACAAGACAAAACGTAGAATTATACATTAATTCCCAATAATCATATCTAAAAAAGAAATAGATAGATTAAATATATCAGTCTATCAAATTACATTAATAAATAAATATCATGTAAGATAAAATCAGTAGATTTGAAACATGACCTGGTTCATAGGACGTAATAGTTTAAGAGCATGGGAATTACTATTATTTCTTAAGATATAAAAAACAAAACAACAGTACAATTGGGTGAGGTGATACATTAGAACAAGGTCCTCCCGCAACGAGAAAAATACTGCAAATCAATCTGAAATTTGAGGGTTTTTAGGAATAAATACCACAATTATTAATAGTAATATGCGATAACTAAATAAATTGTTCGATATGAATCTGATACAAAAAAATTTCAAAATCAAATATTTTCATCGTTTAGGTCGCCGGCATACATAAGAACATTAAATCAAAACAAAAATCTAAGAAAGCATCTTCGTACACAGAAAAGGAAGACAAAGTGTAATTAATCCTTGAATAATAAAATAATCGCTTAAGAGTTATAAAACGACGAAGTCAGTAATTCATTTATAACAATAAAATTCATCTTGTCAATATCTTTTAAGCACATTGATTTTGATCATTATTATAATAAATATTGTCAATTATTACGTAATAATTCGTCTGTTTTGAATATATATTGAAAACATCCATCAATCTATGAGAATAAACTATTTGAAACAAATAAAATATAAATGTATAATATCACAATTGATTGATCACTGGGTGGTGATGAATGTCATGTGTGTCGAGTCCTTCTTAGTGCTGGTCGAATGCTATCGATCAAGTTGCAATGTGGCCACCAGTCTAGGTGGTTCGACGCTGTGTGCACTATGTTGAGATAAGATGAAAACAGTTGATTTGTATATTAAACGGTAGAAATGAAAATAGTTGTTTATAACATTTGAAGATGATTGAATTCTATCAAAATTTAATGATCGATCAAAAGAGAAATTTTCTTTTCTTTTCTTAAAAACGTAGATGAGACTATAATTTATGGAAAACCATTGAGCGATGCAAAAGTAAAGGTTATAAACTAATGCAAGGAATTAAAATTGGGATTTACAATTGGACGTTAGGGTTAGGAATTAGAGTTCAGGTATTCATCATGAACTGACATAAGCAATAATGTCAAAATGCTATTTAGTAAAATGCATGAATGAGTTTCGCACCAAGATCCAACGGCTGCTATATCAAGTCTGATTACTTCATCCATAAATTATAGTCTACTTAAAAAGTGCAGAATTAATAACAAGTTTTGAAGAGAGAAGAACAAATGAAAGCAGAGAAAACTTACGCATCATATAAAGCCATATCTGTAGCACAACGCTTATCAGCATATCGTGTCCAATCTGTTCCATGACGACAAGTAGTTAACATAATTATGTCTTTTCCATTGTGTAAATGAAAAAGTATATCACGTGATGCTGATCCAATCCCACTGACATAACGTTTACCCTATAAAACCAAAAAAATAAGTGCTCAATCATTTGTTAGACTTATACATGTTTGAATAGATTAACAATATCCAAGTATTGTTAATCTTTATCCTTCACTTATTCAAACTATAATCTTACTATAGTTAACATAGTGAAGTATCCCAGGTAATAATGTCAGCCAAAAATTGTGAATATTTGTGAACTAAATATTCTGAAGAGTCGAATATAAATTTGATTTTATTATTTTGACCAATGAAGCGTTTTGAAAATGATATACACAATTTGAAATGCTAGATGGTATAACAAAAAAATCTGGAGGGAAGCACGGAATACAATGGACAGCTAGGATGCAGCTAGACGACCTAGACTTCGCAGACGATCTGGCTCTTCCATCACACATGCAACAACAAATGCAGGAGAAGACGACCAGTGTAACAGCAGCCTCAGCAGCAGTAGATCTCAATATACACAAAGGGAAAATCAAGATTCTCCGATACAACACAGCATGCACCAATCGAATAACACTTGACGGAGAAGCTCTGGAGGATGTAAAAACCTTTGTGGTGTTGTCTACTTATATCTATATAAGTAGTATATGGTGTGGGTCAGACATAGAATGTATTTTCGCAGAAGACCGATGACGAAAGAACTGAAATGAAGCGCAATCGTTTGGAAAATGCATGAGCAATGGAATAAGAGAAGAAACAGTGAAGATTGAAACAAATTGTTGTTAATTTGCAAATTGACTGTTCATTGTTTGGTAATCAGAATTTACTGAGATAGTCTGTAATCTTTGCTTAAATACATTCGATTGTCCCCAACTAGTGTTCTGTTCCTTACACCTTTACATATCTGGGGAGCATCATTGATAAACACGGTGGATCAGATGCAGATGTGAGGGCGATGATCGGCAAAGCAAGAGCAGCATATTTACAACCGAAGAACATCTGGAACTTAAAGCAATTGTCAACCAACACCAAGATCAGAAGTTTCAATACAAATGTCAAGAAAGTTCTACTGTATGGGGCGGAAACCTGAAGAACTACGAAAGCCATCATCCAGAAGATACAAGTGTTTATTAACAGTTGTCTACGCAAATTACTTCGGATCCGTTGGCCAGACACTATCAACAACATTTTACTGTGGGAGAGAGCAAACAAGATTTCAGTGAAGGAAGAAATCAGGAAGCGCTGAAAGTGGATAGGACACACATTGAGGAAATTACCCAACTGCGTCACAAGGCAAGCCCTCACACGGAGTCCTGAAGGCCAAAGGAGAAGAGGAAGACCAAAGAACACATTACGCCGACAAATGGAGACGGACATGAGAAGAATGAACAAAAGTTGGATAGAACTATAAAGGAAGGCCCAGGACAGGGTAGGTTGGAGAATGGTGGTTGGCAGCCTATGCTCCACTGGGAGTAACAGGCGTAAGTAAGTAAGTAACTAGATGGGATTTGGAAAATGAATATGAATACTTATTAAGGATTTTCTGAAACTATAGTGGAAACCTTTGAGTTGCGGTTGTCAATGAAATCAGTAAAAAAATAGTAATTGACATTTAATGGACAGAAGTATATAGTGAATTGGTTAAAGCTGGGAATAAAACCTAATCGACTCTCTGAATAGTATCCTAAGGTTTTCCTATTTGTCGTAAAATCTGGATATTATTTGTTCGATCCCATGTACGGTTCTGTGTATACTGTCGAAAAGTCCCGAACTGAGACAAAACAACTGCTCAGTGCCACTTAGTCTCTAATAGTTCCATAATCTATCTCAGCCTATAACGAGAATCACAAATATGAATATGAACACAATAGATAGAAAAAAAGACTACCTTGAAACTTAAAAGATATGGTAGATCAAGTCGACCGCGTAAATGTTCACTGCTCACTAATTGATCCAACTGACTTGATCCTGACTGTAAAGGATGTTGAGAATGAATAAGTGGTAAAGAAATATCAAATTTTGGACGAAAATGTTTAGTCGAAAAGCTGGCTTTAGCTAGCATGGCTTGGCCAAGCCATAAACGATATTCATCTTCGTAATAATATGGCCAAGTGCCTGCATGTAAATTAAATATTAAGTGATTACGACCAGCATATTCTGATGGCTTTTGAGTAGTGGTTGAGAGTGAATCGGCTTTTATAGAAATATGGAAAAAGGAAAAGAAAGAAAGAAATGTATAAGGTTTCATGAATTTCGAAAAAAGAATTTACGTTGACAAATAACTACAATTATTGTGAGTACACTGTAGCATATATAAACAAAGAGTAGAAATAAATAAATAATATATCTGTAATATCCCAATGAGTAGAAAAATTAGATTTTCTGACGTTTCGTGACTCAGTGTAAGCCACTTCTTCAGAGAATAAATAACCAAATTAACATTAATCCAAGTTTAAATAGTACAACGGAACAATCCAAGAATATTAGGTGATCAATCAAAAACAGGTCTGAATAAATCACTGTCACGTCATTTCATTTCGGTCAAGGTGATTCATAAGCGACATGTATGTAATTTTGTGTGTATGTATGCACTGTTAATAATGAAAACTGTGTGACCTTTATAATTACAAAGGATAGAGTTTGATTTGTAATGTAATGGGTGTGAAATTGTAAATAATATCAGACTGAGTGACTAGGATAGATGGTCCAAGTAGGCTGTATGGTAAGGCCTTCCTTTCTATTGAGAGCTGTGGGATTAAGCATTATATGGAAAGCTTCAGCTACTCTTCTTTCTTTGTAGTTAGAAAAACCTTTCTGTAGTATTTTGATATTTTTGAAATCAATTTGATGACCGTTGAAAATGGCGTGAACTGCTATTGCTGATTTAATCTGAAGTCTTTCTAATTCTAAAGAGTAGAAATGTTCATTGTTATAGCATAGGAAAAATTGATTATTAGTTTAGTACACAAATAAGCATGTACTTTATGAAGGTGGAGTGTCCGACTATTTTACACCAGTCAAACCAAACATCAATATGTAAGAGTTTCGAAGTGACACTTCGGATTAATGTGGAGGTGTGGAACCCGAAACAAACGTTCTCGAACTTTTAATTCCTTACATATATTTGACTAATTTAAAAACTTTAGACTTGTTGAATATTAACCTTTGGAAACTTATAACAATCGTTCCCTATGGATTATAGGATTTTCTCAGGGGTACCTGGTATCTCATTTGTACCGCAATAAGTGGAACTAAACACATTCAATAAAAGTTCAAATAAATTATAGATGATTATAAACTAAAGTCCCTGGCGGAGAATCCCATTTATAGCATGTATCTTAACAAGGGTAACTCAACAACCAAGAACCAGTCTAATTGTTAAGCTCCAGGATATCATTAGAAATATTACTGATATGACCACGGTGAACTAAGTAGGGTTGAGTTTAGAGACCACAGCTTCAAATTCGACACTAACATGTTTAAACTAACAAACTATTTGAAATGTGACCCTATAAAGAATGCTCATGTTATTTTTTATTAGTGATTTACATAAAAAATGAACTAAGTTTATAATAAAGATCTACATGCTTCTAAAAATGTTAGACTTACTATCAAGATCTCTTCTAGGCAACGAATTCCAAAATGGTAAATTAACGAGCTCATGAGCTATATACTGACCGAAATGTGGGCTCAAACGATCTCGATCTAGAGTATCCAAGCTAGGAATAAATATACAAGCTTCATATGGATCTGATGTGAGAAGTTTTGAATTATGTAAAGCGGTGAGGATTTTTTGATAGGTTAGAGATAGATTGGCTTGTTTTGACGAGAGAGGATATACATAAACCTGTGAAGTGAATTGTTTTAATAAGTACCGAGACAAATGAGCAAGCATTAGATAAAGTAAATTGAGAATACGTTTAGGATACAATTATCAAAAGGGTTGTCGTAATAAACCAAACAAAATTTTCTGATGCTTGCAGACAACCAGGCAATAACAAATATTCCCTTTTGAGTTAATCTGGGAATATCAGGAAAATAATATGAGATGGTACCCAGAACATGTTTTAAACAAAACACTAAGGTCCAGGTAATGAACGGAGAAAGTACGTTCTTATTTTTCAGAATATGCTCCAATGCGGTCGCATGTATTGGGAAACGATAAAAGTTTTGTTTCCTGATATCAAACCCGGAGTCAGTTTGTTGCGCAAAACAGTGCCCTATCACTATCTTCTAGGTTGTGATATTTTGAAGTCTTGTGAGAACCGTACAAACAACTGTTATGTCCGAACGAAGAATAAATGAATGGTAATTTCCAGGAATTATTAGTGGATTATCCCGATGGGAGACCTAAACACCGAGGTCGGAATGAATAACATTGGGTATGAAGATATCAAAAGACGACATCGATTGACTGGGGGAAAGGAACGAGAACGGTGACATATTTGCGAATCGATGTGCATTCAACAAAATGGTTACAGGTGGTGCTACATTCCCCCATAAACACATACACGAAGCTACATGGGTTTCATCGGATCACACTACACAGAATCAGATCGATCATATTTCCATCACTAAAAAAATTCCCAATGTCAATGAACAACGTGAGAACAAATAGAGGAGCTAATACACTGTCAAATCACCACATGTTGGTTACCAAGATGAAACTGAGGCTAAAGAAGCACTGGAAAACTGGACAAACAGAACTACAAAAGTTCAATACAACCCCCCTTCGACTCACTAGAAATCTCAACCAATTCAAGATAGCTCTCAACAACAGGTTCTAAGCCTTACAATATCTACTCAAAGAAGAAGAAACTACTATAGAGGACAATTGGGAAGGGATCAAAGAAGCACTAACTTCAACATATCAAACGATGCTGTGTCACAACAAGCATCATCTAAAGGAATGAACCTCTATCGAAACCCTGATTCGGATTCAAGAAAGTAAGAATAAGAAGACAAAAATTAACAACAGTCGAACAAGAACAGAAAAGATCAAGGCACAAACTGAATGCACAGAAGTAAATAAGCAAGTGAAGAGGAGTATTAGACCGGTCAAGCAGAAATACATGGAACACCCAACAATGATAGCGGGATAAGCTCCAAGAGAAGGATATATCAGACAACTATATGATGCAACGAAGAAACTAGTAGGGAAATATAGTAAACCACAGCAACCAGTCAATAACAAAGAAGGCAAGCCAATCGCTGGGATCCAACATCAGCAGAACAGGTGGGTGGAACGCTTTGAAGAACTCCTGAATAGACCAGATCGACTAAACCTACATCGGATTAATTGATACAAATTATTGTTTTAGAAGGCGAAAACTACACTTGATTACTTCAAAAATCAAATGAACAAAACTTGCACTGGGTTTATAGGAAAATCAACTACATAAAAATTATGTTTTAGCCAGTGCAAAATCTATTACTAGATATAATTGGAGACTTAGCATCCACCACTGTTAACTTTTGTGAGCACGGATGAAGATGTGGCAAACGAAAATAGTTCTCATTTAACAAGTCATAAGCCATGTTTCGTGTCATTAAGGTAATAGCATGTTTGTAAAAAGGACAGGCATGTGACGCTTCAATCCATTCTATTTTACTTTACCACTGATCTAAAAGCCTGACCTCTTCGAGTTAACGATTTTTGATTATCATCTCTGCATAGTGGCTTTCACTTGATGGGAGTACTGTGTACGTGATTTTATCCCAGTTTACACCCTGGGGAATAATTGTAAAAATGTAGTTAAGTGGTCAGTATATTACATAGTGTATTAGTATGAAAGGTGTAATATCTGGTTAGTAGTTGTTTATGTATTAAGGCTCTGCGTATAGGGTTCTACAGAACACGCGACTAGGTGGTTTGAGACCTCGACAGACATTAATCAGAATCGAAGACAAGAGAAGTCTTGATACTTTTTCCTGTAAAATCAAAAAGCAACAGCAAAAGCCGTTCTAAAATTGTTCTACGGAAATGCTCTCACTTGTTAAATATTCTTCAACACAATTAATGCTTGACTTGCTGAAAATGTTGTCATACTGTTTTGTGTAATCTTTTTTTTATAACTGTACCGTACAAAGCCTTTGCTCAGAAGACTTAAAAAATAATAAATAAACAGGTTTTCGGTCTAAGAGCTTGAAAGTATACCAGCAATCACAGGAATGGGATTGCATGCCAAAAAATGAACGTGCACTGGGATTTAACTATGTTTTCCTTAATTAGTGTTTGATTTAACATAAGACAGTATTGTAAAGTAGTAATATGAAGTGGCATTACAATAAACAAATAAGTTTTATACCTTCAGACAAATTTAAAATAATGAACACTACACTGTCTAGCTGCAAGATTAAAACTGTATACTAACAAGATAACGTTAAAATATATGGAAGTACGATTACAAAAAATTAAATATTGTGCTTTTACTCACCTTAAATTCCGATTGACACGGTGTATAATCAAAGCAGTTATCCATACGGCACGCCTCTTTGGTACTCACATCATGTGAGAATTTTACATGAGTCTTCTTATACAAAAGATCTAACCATTGGTTTTCAGTAAGAACGTTTTCAACATGAACAGACACCTTATTGCTATTTTTGACATAAATTTCTTGGTTGTATAAGTTGAAAAAACAGAAAAATATTGTGTTTGCAAGAAATGATGCCAGAAGAGCCGATAAGGTGAATAAGAACACCCAACGGTGCCAAGTGCCCATGAAAACCGAATAACAATGTAGTGAATTTAATAGTTTATTTTTTGACCATACTGTAGCTGCTAGTGAAGTTCATATTATTCACTGGTAATCATTTCAATTAGAGAAAATACATTGACCAGGATGTTTATCTAAAAATTGAGACGATTATCAATACTCAAATCGATGCGAAATATTATACAAACATAATGCATAAAAACCTCATTCACTTTTAATCATGAATATTCTCTACTTCCTTGCACATGGAGACAGAGACTTTGATAGGATAAATGTTCCACCAAGGCTAAGACTTCAGTGGTCACGAATAGACCATAATGATATGTGTATTTAGTGATTTTTCTAAGCGCAAAATAAAGACCATATCTTTTCTTTGACTGCAGAACGTATGCTCAGTAAAATCGAGGTTAAGTATTCGCTCCAACGTGATAATAGCACTTTCGGGAGAGAACTATTAGCCATTTTTGGTAGTTAAACTTTTAAAACATTTGCTTAAAGACAGAGATTTTGTGATACTTACAGACTACAAGCCTTTGATATATGCCTATAACCACAAAAGCGATCGTTATTTTCCCAGAGAAATGCAAAAATTGGAGGCTAAAGATACTGATCTCACCGCTTGTAAACAGAACTCAATTTTAATATTAAAGAGTATCCCATTACTACATACTGAATTTACAGTAATGTGACACCCCAACTGAAACACAAGCCATTTTTTACTAACAGCACATAGAGAATGTGTCTTTGACCATCATCTCACTCTGGTATTTGTACCACCTCGAATTTGATTTTAGAAGAGTCTGTATGGTCAGAAACGGAGACCAATGTTGAAAGAATGACTCGAAACTGTTTGAAATGTCAATGGAGTAAGATTTGCGAACATGCGATTACTAAAACCGCCAAATTCAACCGACTGGGACGAAGTTTTCAAGATGTATATATTGATTTGGTCCACCCGTTAGCACCACCTGGTTTTATGTTTTCACAGCAAATGATCATCTTACCAGGCGTTTATTCGTATGACCTACAAACAAGATCTCAGCCGAAAACAATGCTACTGTATTTCTAAACAGATGGGTCTCTAATTTCCGGTAAACCTTCTACAATTGCTTCTGACAGAAGTTTCCAGTTTTAATCAGACCTATTTAGAAAACTAGCCCAAATTCCGGGTCACTATTACATCAGTATGACAGCATACCATCTAGCAGCAAACTAACTGGTAAAGCGATTCTACAGACAATTTAAAAGTTCGCTGGTGGCTCGAGCCACCTGATGAAACTAGATGGAGCGAATAACTAAGCTTAATTTTACCAAACATACGCCCAACAATCAAAGGAAAAATAAGATATTTATTTTGTGCTTAAAAAATTATTAAATACACATACCATCATACGAAGACACAGTGGTGACTAAATAACACGTTCTTCTCAGCTGACTAGAGCATGGCACATATGTTTCAAAGTATATTTTTAAACAACGCCAAGGAAATAACGACATTAAAATCGAGAGAATGAAGATATTTCTAGTAGCAACGATGGGCCGGAAACTATGCTCCCGTTAACCCAACTGGCGAATGATGTGAGGATAATTTTTTCAACAGAATCAGTCTCATCAATTAAAATAAGCGGAGAGAAGCGAGCACAACAATGTAGTGGCTGAAGGTAGGAAGAATAGCAGATTATCTGTCCGGATTGTGAAGCAAGTTTCCGCGACCTTTCACAAAGCTCTCTAGGTACGACCTTTTGACGTAAAACCGAATATAGCGATTACCTGTAGGTCAATAATTGATTCATTTAAAAAAGATTGGCTCAGGAAAAAATCATTTTCACTCTGGTAATCATTCATAAACAAATGATTGACCAGTGAATTCGTGGAAATATTACCGGTGAAAACTGTTTATGAATGCTTTTCAGGGTTGTACCCATATTACGAACGCAGAAAATCTTATCGAGTGGTTCTTCACTGGTGAATTAAACAGTAGACTTGTGAAACAGGCTCCGAGCGCCCTTTCCCTGATTATAACGTAAAACTGTGTGTCAACTGTTTTTGCCTTTTTTCTGTGTTTACAATACTTTTTCTCTGTTCATTTATCAAACAAAACATTTCACACACTTCTTTCTGGTCGTCGGTGGGACATACTATGGTAATTCCAACAAGCGATATCTCGAAGTATGCAATTTCATTGCACTGGCTGTATTTAAGAGATGTTGCAAACCATCGTTACTCTGACTATGCAAACATGCTGCTGAACACATCTAAGATGTTACTCTTGTATAAGCGTTACAGTGTCATGTATATTCAGTGATTTTCGTAGAGACGAAATAAAGACCACATTTTTCCTCTTATTCGTGTAACCGCATTTATATCCAATGCTTATTGCTTATCTGCATCAGTATAAAACAGGCATAATCGGTTGGCTAGTTAATACTCTTCTGTTGTTATTCAAATAAAACGCTATCTTCGTCATCTATTCTTCTGCATTATCAGCCTCGGCCTGTAACTGAAGATTATATTAGTGCTGTGACATCCTTAAAGGCCATTCTATACTACGTTGTAATTTCGGTCAGTATTATTTTTTAATAACACTATCGAATTTATACGTATCGTCACCCCGTCAATTCCTTAATGTTTAGAGGAATCTTCGTTGGTCAAGTGAATTCATTTGTGGTTGTTATTTCAGACGGAGCTTGCGAGTAACATTCATTTCATAAGAATTGTTGTCGTGTTGTTAATTAACATACTTTTTTGTAAGCGCTATTTGTTACCGTTTCGCTTTACTCATAAACAGACAGAGGTATGTAGTCTTAGTATTTTTTTGATACGTCATTACCAGTTGTGCGTACAAATATATCTCGAATATGCCCTTTTACTAAGGTTCACCATAGCATTAAGCTGTAAACGACGTGGGGCAACTCACAGATCTCGAGAATGTAATGAGCGTCATAATAAACCGCGCATCAGGTCCAAATAATGCCATCACATTAGATACACAAGACTCGGGAAATAATACACACACAGATGCTAAGAAGGCTACAATCAAACGAAAAGAAAAAAAATTATAAGTTCTGAAAAATGTTAATCCACAGATACTTTCTCAAAACCCGTACCAGAGCAAAAAAGACCATATCAGCACCTAGCCTGCTCATCGTGGAAGGCTTGGCTGAGAAACAAAACGAAGTCAAGGTAACTCAAGAAAAACCACTTCAAATCTTTTTGATGGACATTTTCGTTATTTCTTCATTATTTTGTTATGTCTTTGATCCCGACTTTTACTGAAGCCTTTTGTGGCCAATTTTATTGTTCTTCAACCTTATTTGTCCAGACCCTTATCATTTGACTTCGGCTAGTGTTTGATTTTATTATTTAATTTTGCTGTTCCATGTTGACAAGTCATTGACACTAAAGTTGCATTTGATTAAATTCAAGTTTAGGGAATAGCTCGATCGATGGTTATTGATTTTGTAATGCCTGTCGAAAATGGCTAGTTGAGTCCTCGCAGATAGATCCCAGCTTGTTGGGAATACACTTATCAATTCTTATTTGCTGAAAGGGTATTTGCTGACCTTAATTCTCTCTGTCTAATACTTAGTTGTGCTAGACAAGTCCCTAACTGTGTACCACCGGCTGTATTATTTAATGTACTTTGTAATTTCGTTCTTAAAAAACCGATTAAAATAAGAACAGAGTTCGTGTTTTGATATAATTTGCCATGAGTGACTCAAAAAGGCTTTGTACGCTATGCAGAAGACCGCAAAATTCTAATCGGATAGCTTCACGTTTAGATCAAATACAGAAACTTTGGTCGTTACATTAAATGGCTGGCTAACGATAGCACTTAGAAAATCAGCGAGAAAAGTAACGTCTGTACATCCGTGACCAAACCAAACTGGAGGAATGAGAAGAATTGAAACTCACCAAGACAAGTCTCTCAGAAAGGTCAGTCATTTTTCAAAACTTTATAGGGTCTTGCAAAACGGTTCCAGAGGTTAGGCTGAAACTCCACCTAATCCGTATCGAATCACATACAAACAAGCTACTTCCTGAAAGGGAAAGGAGACTTAGTATAAGTAAGCTTTGCAGAACAGAAATGTGGAAGGAAATCCATTATAAGTATACTTGAACCATCAGAAAAATCAAGAGCGGCAAAGCAGTGGGACCAGATAACATTCCAGCAGAGGCACTGAAAGCACATGCAGCAGCAACTACAAAGATACTCCACATCCTCTTCAGTAAGATTTGAGATAAAGAACAAGTACCAACAGACTGGAAAGAAGGATACCTGATCGAAATACCGGAGAAAGGCGATCTCAGCAAGTTTGATAACTAGAGGAGCATCACACTTCTCTCAATACCAGGAAACGCCTTCGATAGGGTATTATTAAACAGGATGATGGAATCTGTAGACGCCCAACCTTGAGACCAACAGGTTGGATTCCGTAAGGATCGATCGTGTACAAATCCAATCGCAACTCTACGGATCACTGTGGAACAATCAATTGAATGGAATTCATCACTCATCACATTGAAAATCAACTTAAATATAATATTTTCAATAGTAATGTATGGTCAAATACTTCAATTCTCTTCAGAAACCGATACTGTGCCGAACTCAGCTTAGAATATATTACTAAATTTTGACAGCTGTTCATTTTCGGGTTTATCTGCTGAAAAACTATTCTAGGAAACTCTTTTTTGTATTCCATCCGGTTGCTTCAACAAGGTTGTCTGATGAGGCGCGTTTGAAATATAATCACCAGAGGATTTTCTAGGTTTCCCTGCTATTAAAGATAAGCACTTTGATAGTGGCATCGGCCTCGGAAGAACACCTTCACACTATTTAAGTTTGATACCGTATTGAGTTGGCGGAATCCTGCTGCTAAACTGTTAGCTCAAATCATTTTTGTGACAAAATGCCTCGGACCTTATAATAGCTGCGGTAATGTACGTACAAAGAAAACGCTCATACTTCTTAATCGTACTTTCTGAAATAATATTTATCGGTCACAAAGGATCCACTATTTTCCATAGAAAATAAAAGCTCATGACTAGGTATGAAGTATATTATCTGGGATGCTGCTCAGAGAAGCATGTGTGAGATATCCTAGAATAGAGGCAAAATAAAGAAAAGAATGGCTCAGTGAGTCAGTTGTTGTAAAAGATTTGACGACATTTATTAATGATAGAAACCGATAGCGGTTTGGAGTGGAGTAGACGTAAAATTCATGAAACATGATAAATGAAACCAAGAGATAATATAGAATGATTTAGAATGAGCTGTGAGTTGATCAGAAAACGATTCGAATCCCAAGCATAACATGCCCAGGAAATGGTAAACAATAGTTTAGAAAACAAATCTTTGGGATGATTTTAAATAATTGTTATGAAGAATTAAGGGTGCTACGATACAAGCGGAAAATTATAGTTGTGAAGGCCAATGTATACACACAAAATTTGCACGAATCATTAAGCTCACTCTTTCTCCTTCCCCGAGGTACTAATGCAGAGGTTTCACTTCAGCTACATGACATTATGATAAGTTGGAGTGGACTGTTACTCTGAAAAGTGAGCCTACCCATGACTGGAAGTCGAAATAATTAAAATTAATCAGTATAACAAAAATTCATTTGTGGTTCCGAAACCAAGTTTTCCTCACCAAAATTTAGAGATTTCGAATTGTGTTTACACAGTACCTTACTTATTTATTACAAAATTATTAAATTGGTTGCTTCACTTAAACCCTGTCCAATATCACGTGAGAAAATCGGACTAAAAATGCTAACGTCTATGAAATCGTCCTTGTACTAAACTAGTGACAGCTCAAATAGCACTAGCAGCCTTCAGTCAATTTTGAATCCTTATTGATCCTCAACATAGTCTCTTCACACCTTGCCCTGCTCGTGGAGTCCAGAAAACAATATTTGCCTCCAACGTATGAATATAATGCTTAAAAATACTTGGTTTTTATGTACAAGCGTACTAGACCCCCTCGTGTTATAAAATGAAAAATAACTACTATATAAGACCAAACCAAAAGTAGCTGTGAGTAGGGGAGTGGACTATAGATTAAGAATCAATTAAGAATAGTGAATTACTTACCTACTCCTGTTATCTGTCGTGGAAGAGTATAGACCACCTACTAGAATTCTACGTCGAGCTCTGTCCTGGACAGTCTTTTCCAGTTTCTATTTATTCTTTTGGTGTCTGCTTCAAATTCCCGTCTGTGTGTTATTCGGTCCTCCTCTTTTCCGCTTCTGTTCTGGATTCCAAGTTAGCGATTGCCTCGTGATGCACATTGGTGATTATATGTCCTATTCACTTCCGGCGTCTTTTCCTAATTCCCTCTTCAGATGGGAGCTGGTTCTTTTTCTCCCATAGTAGGCTGTTGCTGATGGTATCCGGTCAACGGACATTGAGTATCTTGCGTAGACAACTGTTTATAAATATTTGTACTTTTTTGATGATGGTTGTAGTAGTTCTCTGAATTTCAGCTCTGTATAGTAGAACTGCCTTGACGTTAGTATTGAAGATTCTCACTTTGATATTGGTTGAGAGGCAGTTGTTTTGAGTTCCATATGTTCTTAACTGTAGGAATGCTGCCCTTGCTTTGACAATTCTTGTATTTACGTCTGCATTCGACCCTCCTTGTTCATCGATGATGCTGACCAGATACGTGAGGGTTCCCGCCTGTTCCAGAGTTTCCCCATCAAGTGTGATTTTGTTGAAGATCTTGCTTTTCCCTTGTGTGTGTTGAAGCCTATTGCTGCAGAGGCTTCTGCTACACT